TCGTCGAATTTCCTGACGTCGTCGGCGGCGCCCGTCATCTCTGCCTCCGCCCTGTTGGACGGTCGGTGACCCTCAGGATAGTACCGACCACCTGGATGCAGGGGCTGCGCGGTCTGAAAGGCTGGTTAGCAAGGACAAGAGCCAACTCAGATGGCCGAAGTTATACCAGCGCCGATGCCACGCTTCCGAAAATTGCTTTCCCAAGTTTACGGAAGGGTACTGACTTCGCGAAACTCATCGCCCTCGATGTGCACCTCGCGATCACGGATCCGACGCATCAGGGCGAGGAAATTACTGTTCTTAAATTTCTGACTTTGTTCATGGCTGACGCTGTCGAGCAACTGTCCCGCAGTTTTTGCCAACTCGTCCGCATCATCTCTCCGCTCTTGAGCATCGGACTTGTTACCATGAAGGATGAGGTCGGAGCCAATTAGTATCTTCTTCGTCTTCTCCGTTTGTTCTGGGGGCAAATTCGTATCTGTTTGCAGCGACTCGCTTTCCGTGACGTCTTGCTGCGTAGCGGCTGCGTTTTCTTGTCGTTCCACCTCCTCCCTCGCCTGTTCAAATGCAGCTTCAAACGCAGCCTCATCGAAAGTCTCAGTCTTAGGTTGAATGTGGGCTTGTGATGTGTCCTGGTGCATTGGAAGAGGCTGCATCATGCCCCCACTCATTTGGTAATTTGGTCTGACAGAGGGCTGAAAAGTCGGCATGTGAGGTGACTGTTGCACTGAAGTTTGCTGCTGCTGCTGCTGCTGCTGCTGCTGCTGTCTAAGAAACTCGTCCTGCCAACCTCCGGGAGCAGCCTGGTTTACTGGTGCCCCTGGTCTAAACTGATGTTGAGGACCTTCATGAGAGGGTCCAGATAAGTGTAGCCTTTGAAAGTCTGCCGCCCAGTCCGCACCTCCTGCAGTAGGTAATATAGGATGCTGATGACCATGGTTGGGAGCAGCATAAGGACCAACATGTCCCGAGGCCGGCTTTCCCGCAAAGTTGGTCTCGAAAGCTTCGAATTCTGCATCCAGAGCGCCAGCATTGGGATTTGGGGACCGAAAGCCCTACAAAACCATTTAGCAATTTTGAGTCAAAATCGGGAAACGACGCTCAGACAGACTAACCTGGGCTGGTGACTGGCGTGTGACTAATCGGTCCTGCTGAAGGGTCCGGTCAACGGATGCATGCTTCTGGAAATTTTGGAGCGCATTCGAAGGTCCACAAACGGCATCCGCCATGGTGGCTACAGCAGCCCCGTGAAGTAGAGGCGGATTTCGGCGATGAGAAAGAGGACGACGGAATGCTATGAAGGCAGGTGAATGCGAATGTGCCGAAATCCCCCTACACAGGAATGACGCCGGTGAGAGAAGAGAACAAGAGAACGAGTGTGAAGTCGCGAGTTCAAACAGGAAGACAGAGGACGAAGATGAGAGAGACGATGGCGACAACAGCGAAGGTCGTCCTTCTCGCCGAGGCCTTCGCCTAGACCGAGGCACCCGTCTCACGTGGGGTTTGGCGGTCCGACCGGGGAGGGCTGATTGATAAGATAAGATCGGGTCCCGTCGCGGCCTCGGTTGGTGCCTTGCTGCTCAGGCGGAAATGGCCAGTCTGGTGTTTGGGGGTCCAAGCAGATCGTCGACCCAAGTCCGCAGAACGTCCATTGTGAGCTTCTCTGAACGAATTCTCCCACCCCACACTGTCCCTAGCAGGAAGTCGATCAGGGACAGGATCGCGGTGCTGTGTGAACACTGTTCCTTCCCTACTGTGGATTGCTTGCACCACAAACATGGTGCGTGAAGCTCCTCGGATTCCGTCCCCTTTCTACTCCGTGTCAACATGCTGACCTTGCAACTGAAGGCGCAAGTGATATCCAATTCCGGCCATGATGATATGATTGTACGTCGCGTCACCATCTATATCTCTCTGCAAAGAAACGATGAATATGCTTTCGGTGCTGGTCACATGTCTTGGACAGGTAACTAACGTTTGTTTAGCACGATGCCAGCCTGGACTACTATGGCCGGAGGCTAGCTACATGCTCCTCTGACAAAACTATCAAAATATTCGAGATTGATGGCGATTCACACCGACTGGTCGAGACTCTGAAAGGGTGAGCAGACTACCTGGTGTCTCTTCAGGAACCCAAGATGCTGATTCTGGACAATATCACAGCCATGAGGGTGCGGTGTGGTGTGTCGCATGGGTGCGTGGAATCCCACAAAATTCAGGGCTTTTCTTCAATCCAAAGCGGACAGGACTGATGAAAACTTCGGACCATCTAGGCACACCCCAAGTTCGGCACCATCTTGGCTTCCTCTTCCTACGATGGCAAGGTCTTGATCTGGCGCGAACAGCCCTCGGGCGCACCGTCAGCCACCGGTAGTTCATGGAACAAGGTTTTCGATTTCTCCCTTCACACCGCATCCGTCAACATCGTCTCCTGGGCTCCCCATGAAAGCGGGTGTCTTCTGGCTTGTGCCTCCTCAGACGGCCACGTCAGTGTTCTCGAGTTCCGCGACAACAGCTGGACTCACCAGCTCTTCCATGCTCATGGTATGGGCGTAAACGCGGTCAGTTGGGCACCGGCCGCATTACCTGGAAGCTTGATCAGCACCAATCCCGGAGCTGGCCAGCAGAGAAGGTTTGTCACGGGAGGCAGTGACAATCTCGTCAAAATTTGGGAATACAAGTATGTTGATCAACCTCAGCCCAACGTGAACACGGATGTATCCCCCTGCTAACTCTCTCTCTTCTACCCGCTAAAGCCCAGAGTCCAAGACATATAATTTGGTTCAGACCTTAGAAGGCCACACCGACTGGGTTCGGGATGTTGCATGGTCGCCGAGCATTCTCTCCAAGTCGTACATCGCCTCCGCCTCGCAAGACAAGACTGTCCGTATTTGGACGTCGGACGCGTCGAACCCGGGCCAATGGACCAGCACCCAACTCGAGTTTGACACGGTGCTATGGCGAGTCAGCTGGAGCTTGAGCGGCAACATCCTTGCTGTGAGCGGCGGCGACAACAAGGTCAGCTTGTGGAAGGAAAACCTGAAGGGCCAGTGGGAGAAGGTTAAAGACATCGAGGAGTGAAAGATAAATAAGATGTTAGTGGGGTTTCATTTTATTTTAAGTTAATCGTGGGCGGTTTCAGGCTTCTCTTGTAACCCAGTCTTTGGTGTAGTTCTTCTACAATTATGCTGTCTTACATACAAACAACAACCCGCATTGGTTGGTATCCTACGAGACTTGAAGAACCAAAAATAAAAGGGAAAAAACAACCATTTTTATGTCCCGTAGCTTGCTAATTGTTCTTTAGTAGAGTAATTGCAGTAGATACCCGCCAGAAGGGGGAAAAAAAAAGTTCAGTCCATTCCAACCCCATCTCATCTCAAAGATGTATGCTCATTATGTGCTCCCCTTTTTCGTCCCTTTATTTCTTTTCATGAATTTGCTTCCCCTATACATCCCAGAATATGAATGGCCCTCTACTGCACTATTCCTCGTCTGCCCTCGCCATATCAAGCCACTGGCCCAGCATGATCCTTCCTCCCGGGAGCAGGACGCCCTCATAGCCAAAGATCCAATGGAAGTCCATCCGGAGATCGACCGGTGGCCAGTCTTCCTCTGGAAAAAGCGCCTCTTTACTTCCATCCTCGCCATCATCGTCAGTATCAGATGGAACGAGCTTCAGAAAGTCGCGGTTCGCGTCGTAAATGACGAAGCAGATCCGACTCCAGCCGGGGATGCCACCCTGCGGAGAGGGAATGGGTTCGAGAAACCCACGGACGAGATAGCTGGGACTGTCCATGACCTGGTGGAATCTCTGGATTCCGCGGAAGTAGGTTCTCGACGATGCAGCGCCGAGGATGGGGATGATCCAGTCGAAAATGGCTGGCCAGTTCAGCGGATCTGGATCGATGGTCAGGTGGAGCAACTGAGAGGATCTAGCTGTTAGTTTACTTTCCGTTGTTCGCTTTCTATGTACACTACAAGTTCTGAGAATTATGGACATACGAGAGGAAATATCTGCGTTCAATGACTGTCCAGGTCAGCGCATGTCTGGCGTCCCTTGAGGAGCTTGAGCGTTTTCGGATACGGATGGATGCATGCTAACATCGACGATCGGCCTGTTAGAGTCTATACAAAAAATTTCCTTATTAAAACTGAATGAGAGGAAGAATGATCACTCACAGTAATAGCCCAACCAGAGACTCTTCAACTCCACTTTCTCATCCAGGGGACGGTCCCACGCTTTAGGTCTCTGGCTAACAGGCAGGCCTTCGAAGGAGCCATGAAAGGTATCTTCATAGGAAGTGGTCAGATGTCTCTGCCAGAAATTGCGAAGATGGAGTATCTTTTCAAGATCCACCTCGTGGATGGACACGAGTGGCTCTCGAGAGGGTACTTTGTAAGAGTAGACTTTCTGGATGTCATAGTCACCCCGAGAGCACCGATACGACCGTTCCAGGTCTAGAGACAAATAAGTCAAGCACTGCCATCAAAGGGTCGAAAAGAGTCAGCTCTAGTGCATTCTTTGAATTCATCAACAAGTCGGATTTTCAAGACGGGTTCTTACCAACTGGACAGCACAGAAACTGTCCGAGGGAGGGTTCTGTGAGCGCTGACCGTATCCGTTAACCGGCCGGTGTAGGAAATCGGAATGGCAGAGAACTTCGATGATCCTCGGTTCTTGGAATGGGATGGACGAGGATCACTGATGGTCCGGGAACGGTAGGACTCCAAATGAAGAGTCTTGATGAGCTCGAGCCATAACTCCTGCTCTTCCTTTTCCCCGTACCTGAACGAGATCTTCTGCGCCAAAACAATGGCTCGTGTTTGGTACTCGATCTTGATCTCGGCCGAGTTATGTCCCCGGGGCAAGTCGTACTGGTCTTCAAACCGCCTGCGCCAGATCGATGAGTGCGAGGGCAGCACTTGGTACGCCACAGATGTGCACACAGAAGTGAAACTTGAGAGATCGGCATCGTCGACGAGGAAACAGGCTATATGTTGGACGAGCTTGGAGGTCACATAGAAAGTACAGCGCTCAATTCCTCCTCCTTTGACAAGGAGCATCGAAAAGTCAAATACCTCAGCTGGTAACCTTCGAAAAGGGTTTGAGGGGCCCTCCATGACGGAAAACGATACAGGGCTCGTGGAGCAAGTCTCCCGAGATTGGAGAGAATTCTGAATAGTTGTTGAGTACAGCAAGTCTAATCTATCAAGAGTGAGATTGACATACCGAATGTGGCTCAGTTACTTCTGATGTAGTAATGAACTTCATCCGAAACTGTATTATGATTAACCTAACTTCAGTTGCTGGAATGACTAGATACTAAATTGGTCAGTTCAGGATGACATGAGAAAGTTGATCAGAAGCGCTTGTTGAAGCCCAAAATGAACACCAACTTTTACACGCAAGATGTCTAGTCAGAGTTGAGATGACGCCTTCTTAAGCTTTCTTCAACTCCCCATCCATCACTCAACAGTCCTTTCACTTCCTCCAGACTCAGCCCACTCATCTCTGGGTAGATGAACCACACACAAACCCATCCCACAGCGCATACCAGCGCATAGGCGACAAATGTCCAGCCAGGCGACAGAAGTTCCATCATTGGTAAAAAGGAGAGGCCAACGATAAAGTTGGATCCCCAGTTCGTGGCCGTAGCGAGGGATGAGCCCAGAGAGCGAACCGTCAAAGGGAAAAGCTCCGATTGTTGCCAAGGTACGTTTCCAAGACCAGTAGCATACGAGGCGGTGTATAGAGTCAAGGAAATAAGGATAATGAGTGGCTTGGATGAATCGCCATTTGAATTCCCTTCCCATCGCTGTCGAACGGCTAACGGCGATTTCGGCAGGTCTAGGGAGGAGAATGCGGCAGCACAAACGAGCAGAGCGAAGGTCATGACCGGAATGGAGTAAAGGAGAATTCGTCGGCGGCCTATGCGGTCAATTAAAGAGAAGGCGAGGAGGGTGAAGAGGAAATTCGTCATAGCCACGGTCAGGGACGTCAGAGTCGGAGACGAGAAAGAGAGCAATTGAAAGATTGTTGCCGAAAAGTACATGAGACTATTGAAGCCACAAAGCTGCTGGAGCCCTTGTAGCATCATCGCAATCGTCAAGGCTCGTCGGTTGCCGCCAACGCCTATTAGCTCGGAGAAAGTTTGTAAAGATCGGCTGTACCATGTCGCTGAGGAATTCGATGGCTTATTGCGGTTCATTTCCTCTTCTTCTTCCGTAACTTCCCTTTCGATAGCTCTCAGCACGACGTCTGCCATACGCTCCGCGTCCGGGTACGCTCTATAGACCTTCTCCAGCACCCTCTTTGCTGCGAACCCGTGCCCAGCTTGGACAAGCCAACGGGGAGTTTCCGGGAGTAAAACGATGACTGCAAGCTGCAAAAAAGCTGGAAGCGACCCAAGGCCAACCATCCAGCGCCAGCCCCCTGACATTGAAGAGAATAACCAGCCAATCACATAGGCGACCACTTGACCTCCCGTTATGAAGAGACTCAATATGGTGACAAGTCTGCCTCTCATTTCCGAAGGTGCAAGCTCCGAAATGTACCTGGGCCAGAGAGGTCAGCGCCGTCGCAGAGTGCAAGGAAAGGAGAAAGGCAGCGTTGCTTACAATGGAGAAACCAGACTCGCAGCTCCGACAGCCAAACCGACAGCACTCCGCCCAAATATCATCCCTTCAACCGACCCCGTGAGTGCTTGCCATAATGCTCCAAGGGCAAAGAGGCCATCAGCAATTAGGATCACCTTCTTCCGGCCGAACTTATCAGCGAGAACTCCAGCGAACGGGCTCGCAACTAACGCGAATAAACTGGTGCAGGATGTTATGAGACTCTTGTCAAGAGTGGTGAGAGGGCGACTAGATAGGTCAGAGCCGATTGACACGAGGGTCGAGGAAATCACACCTGTGCTGTCGAAGAATGAGAATGACGAGCTCTCATTGATGTGCTGGTGTTATACGTACTCATAGCCGAAAAGAAGGCCACTTATTCCCGCGGAGAACGTCAAGGCCCATATGAAGATACCTCCATAGGCCCTCGGCTCTGAGCTCAGCAGCAGTCGGTCTGAATCGTCATTGATGCCTCTCCGAACGTTCTGTTCGAGGAGCGGAGCATCTACCGCCGTCCGGTAGTCAGTATCGTGTGCTGCCATTTCCTCCAGCTCTACAGACTGTTCCGCCACTGGGCTCACTACCGTCGTGTCGCCATCGACAGACATGCGCGAAGATCTGGCAGGAAGTAATCTCCAGGCGGTAGACTTGTTGGCACGCCAGCAGCAATGTCCCTGGTATGGAGAACGGAGTTGCACACCGCACACTTGGCCATCTCAACTGCATTGCTGACCCACCGTCCGTGTCGGCACATGATTGGCGGGAACGAGCCCACGAGGTTCCGTATCCACGGACCATCCACCGCAACAACTCCCCAAGCAAGCTGGTCGCATGACCGTTGGAGACAGTCCAGCATTACCGTTGACTTACAATCTGGCGCTTACTAGTTCCTGATTGAGTTCTCTTAAATAGACTGTATCCATGGGGAAGAAGGTGGGATCTGGATGGAAAAACCATAGGCGTTGCCGCGTTTCCCTTCCTTACTATACCCTGAAGAGCAGTTCACACTACCAGGATAGAAAAGCTCGTCTTTGTCTTGCGTTTCCTAAGGCTAAAAATCCGCATGCCGATTTTGACAGGAATCATATCTATCCCGTTACTGGGGCCTCGCCACTCCAGCTGCATCTGCTTGCGCGGCGATCTTCCGCTTATACGCATCGACGTCCCCATCAAACTTCTCAACACGGCCGTTGTCACAGACCCAAAGGCTGGTGCAAACATTTTTCAACATGGTAACGTCGTGAGAGACCATGAGAACACCACCCTGGAACTTCTGAAGCGCCTCTGAGAGTGCATCCATGGCCTCGATATCCAGGTGGTTAGACGGTTCGTCCAGGACGAGGATATGCGGATTCGTCAGGGATAAGCACGCAAAGGCCACACGAGACTTTTGACCTCCGGACAGCAGTCCTAACTTCTGCAGGCCGGTCATACCGGTGATGCCAAACCTAGATTGTGTCAGTGCATCAATGTTTGCATGACAGGAATGTCTTTCAAGGGTGAGTCATACGCGCCGAGATGTCTTCGGTATTCCTCGTCTGTCTTTCCGGGATAGTTCTTGGCCATAAATCCCACTGCGCTGTCATTCAGATCCAGTGCGTCAACGTGGTGTTGAGCAAAGTAGCCAATGCGCAACCGCGGATGCTGGGAGATTAAACCACTGGTAGGCTGTAGCTGTCCGATGAGGAGTTTCAGGACGGTGGTCTTTCCGGCGCCGTTCGGTCCAACAATGCCAATGCGAGAATCAAGCTGGACATCCAAATCAACATTCCTGAGCAATAGCTTGTCTTTAGAATAACCAAACGAAACATCCGACATCTGAATAATAGGCGGCGAGAGCTTCTCGACTTCCGGGAACTTGAAGTGCACGACGTATTCGTTCTCTGGAGGCTGAAGGACTGGCATACGCTCGAGCTTCTTGATCCTTGATTGCGCCTCGGAAGACTTGGCTGCGTTATATCTGAATTTGTCAATGAACGCTGGTTGGATATGTCAGCAGGGAAACTAGAGAGCTTATTAAGGGGGATAGTGTTCGACCTTGCAAATGTGCTCGCTGAGCCATCTGATTCTCGTATTCCCGTTTAGCAGCCTTTCTTCGTTCCTCTTTAGTGGCGTAGAAGGAATCTGTCCAAAGTTAGACCGGATCACGCGTGGATGACTGATATGAGGATAGGTAAAAATACCGAAATTGGCTCCCCTGTAGTAGTCTAGCCGCTCTGAGTGCTGGTGGATGATATCAGTAGCAACTTCATTCAAAAAGGCCCGGTCGTGAGAAACGACAAGAACAGTGCTAGGATAGGTCTGTAAATAGTTCGATAGGAAAGTGATTGATGGCACATCCAACATGTTGGAGGGTTCTGCAAAGCGTTAGTTCCGTGCCTACTGAGCGGTCATGGATCGACAAACCGTCAAGCAGGAGCAGATCTGGCTCACAAAACAGCGCTCGGGCCAGAGCCAGTCTCATTCTCCAACCACCAGAGAATGTCTTGGTTGGTAACTGCTGTCGCTCGGGAGAGAACCCAAGACCTGCTAGAATACTGGCAGCACGAGATTCGGCCTTGTCAGACTCCATCTCCGCAAGCTTTGCGTGGATGTCACTTAGAGTCGTATCGAGGCCTTCACGTTCATGGTCCAACTTTGCTGCTTCTTTTGAGGTATCTGCCATCGACGCTCTCTCGGCATCAATCTCGGCCAACTTCTTAGTAATTTTCTATTGATTCTATTCAGTAACAAGCTTCTATGAAGAAAGGTAGGAAGAGACTGACCTCTTGCTCTTGAAGCAAGTGTTTTCGCCAGACGTCGGCATCCAGAACAGATTGCAATGCAGGGGTATCATCACCAGTAATCTGTTCTAAGAGGTTAGCAGCAAATACCGCAAAACTTTGTCGTGCCAACAAACCTCTTGCTCAACGTGCAGAATAGAAATGTGAGTCGGGATTGCTACTTCTCTGCGGCTCAAAGCGCGAAGCAGAGTACTCTTTCCAATACCGTTCTGACCCACCAGACCATATCTCCGGCCATAAGTCAACGTGAGAGAGGCGTCAGTCAATATCCGTTTCCCAGCAATCGAAATATCAATCCCGTCAACCTTAATATCCTTGCTCTTAGACTGTGAATCAGACCCCATCTGCAAAGGGTTGACAGCCATGAAGAACTCTTCATAAGATTGGGCGGGGTCTGGCTTAGTGAGCAAGCGCGACGCTTCGTACTCAACAGTTTTCATCGCCTTCTTATTCTGCTTGGCCTGAATCTTCCGCTCTGCCTTCTCCAGTTTCTTTCGATCAACGCGAGACTCCACCTTTCTAGAACTGGCAGACTCTAGGTCCACCGTTCCGCCTACAAGCCCCAGGGTGGAGGAAATGTTCCTCTGAGAGCCCACGTTGATTGTTTGATCAAGCTTCTTTGCAGCAAAAGGCATCTGCCTCCGCTCTGCATCAACTCCATCTGCGGAGCTTAGAGAGGAGATAAATTTCTCCACGAGATTGCGAATAGCCTCTTCATTCTGAGGAGAGAAATCCCCGGATGCTGACACCAAAAGCTCAGTGATGGTGTCTGCTGCCTCTGATAGTGGCGAGGGAGCATTGGGATCAGCATCCGCCACATATGCCTTTGAGGCATGAGTCAAATAGCCCTATAATCTGTTTAGTGCAAGTTCGTCTTTCCTGGTGAATGCGACCATGAGGGATTGGTGTGTTGTTGTTATTTCTTATGGGTACTCACCACTGAGTATTCTGAGATCACATGGTCGAGACCGGGAATTTGCGCTTGGAGTTCCGCCTCCATTCTGAGCGACCTCCTGGTGAATCGACAACCGTTTGATAGGCAACAACTGTTTAAAAACACGCTACACGATATGGATATGTCAAATAATATGACACAAGCTCCAATATCGGCAGGCGTCGCGTTCAATACCTCCCGATCTTAACCCAGTCAGTCTATGAGTGGGTTGGTTGAGAGTTTGTCGCGGCAAAGTTTTGGTTGGTGGAGAGGCGAACATAGCGACAACGAACCAATCACTGTGGCCATCTGAGATCTACATCTTCCGCTCCTTAAATTAAGTACGACGAATTCTTTGAGACGCTAGGCTAGGATATTAATTCTAATCACGTATCTCCGTATGCACCAAGCAAGATCCCGAATTGTATGGCTTTGAAGACGTTTTGCAGCAGATTGGTGGCCAAGGAGACGTAAAGCTGCTGATCTCAGACTGCCGTGATCATCATAAAAGCTTATGCGGAGTAGCTTTATTGTTTCAATTTAAACGTGGACTGTACTCAGTTGTCATCTGCAGGTTATATCAGCGGTCAGAATGGACAGCCTCCCCCCCCATCGTCAGAAAACGAGGGGGAAATGGAGTAAACAAGGATTTGATTCGACACGGCGCCATGAAACCCTTTGCCGAAATACATTATATAGATTTAGTGGCATATTAATGCGATCGCTCTGGTATCGGTGTCAGGATGAAATTTGGGTTCAGCAATAAAACATGGGAATACTTTTTGTTTGTTTTGTTAAGTTGATAGCTCGGGGCGAGATTTGACTTCAGCTATGGCTTAGAGGGATCTGAGTAAGCAAGAAATAATCTCTGGACTCGATATCTGATTCCAGAAAAGGAGATCAGCCTTGAGGTTCTGGGATAACAGCAAAAGCGGGTCTTGGATCTTACTTTGCCTACTGGCCCAAGGCGACTATGACAACCTGCAGAGATTCTTGAAGGTCAGAGTGCGAATATTCGAAGAGAAGATATAAGCAAAACGGCCACTATCTTGCATTTCGAGTCGCATATAGTATTGTCTGGTTTGAGTTACGCGACATTATTCCTGTTTATAGCTATGGCTATAACGTGCGCTCTTCTCGCCGCTGACAGGGATTGAATCAGGGCTGCTTCGATGTTTGGCAACGTGAGGATCGCCAAAGACCAAAAATGCACAGTCAATCTTAGAGACGCCTATTGTGAGGTATCAGACAGACCGGCCTGAGTTTATTACCAAAGGGATCCTTTCTGCACACGGAGTACTCCGTACACCGCACAAGAACAATGATGATGATGATGATGCTGGGGTGAAACCATGAAACGCGAATCGTCAACGCTAGCGAGTCCGGCCGCTGTGTGGCTTGTGCCCTCGACTAGGTAGGCGCCAGCCAAAGCTGCAAAGCCCACTTGTCGAGAGGCGACCCACATCATCTCTTTGTTCATCTCTTCATCGGCGCATCGAGATTCGCGGCCCTGCTTTTGCTCGAATCGTAATGTAATTACGATGGTGGCCAGATCGACCATGATATTTTATTGGTCGAATGCTGATCTCCTGTTTCTGGAAGAGGAGTTGTTTTCTCTCTTTGCAGAGAATGCCAGATTGTTTGGCACCGGTAAACCATCGTCGGACAGGGTCAGAATAATATTCTCCGTGTGTCAGTCAGCTGCTGTGTCGGAAAGTTTCGCGTCACGCCAACGAAGGGTGGTTGGGATCGGTATAGGCGCTGGGGAAGGCTGATGAGCGGGCTGATGCGAAGGGCTGAGCGCGATCGCCGCCCTTGGCAGCCGGGATCTCAGCAGGGCGAGCTGGGATCTCTCTCCAGGAAGACCCAGACACTAGGGACCTCCTGCGTCCCGCAGAAACCCACCTGTCTCTGCCTCACGCGTTCGAGCTGTGGCCCGCAAGGGGGCGCGACGGCAGCCCGTGTAAGTCTGGCATTATTGATGAGTTATTAGAAGCTATTGATTTCCTGACGTGCAATTGATTTCTGGGCGTCAGCTTTTCTCCTGAGAGAGCAATTCCTCCTGGACTAAAGCAGGGACAAGGGGTGTAGCTCCCACTCCATCGTTGTGATTGCAGATCGGTGCGGCGGCAGAGCAGAGTAATACCAAAACATACCAGTTCGCGCTACCAGATGGGGTCCGACAAAGAAGCTCTGGCCCAACAGGAGCTGTAGTTCTTCTTAATTGTTTGCCATAATATAATTCTTATAATAATCAGAGCAGGACAAGCTCTCTTCTTGTCAGCGTCTCAACAATTGCTTACAAACGCCCCCCCGGCCCTGTGTTTCCTTGCTCCAGGCTGTCTGGGGGCGTGCTGGCGTGATCTTCCCCGGCCTGTTTATGTCCACTGCAACCCGCGTCAAGAAATCAGGTGAAGAGGTCAATGTCCTCTCTCGTCCAAGGGAGCCTGGTCTAGCCCAGAGTTCTCTGTCCCATTTGTTTCAACTCTCCAGTTGATCTCCCTTCCACTCTGACGTCTGTCTGCCCCGCGTGTTCGATCAGCGTGTCAGCAATCTCGCCAGTCATATCATCGACGATTCTGCTTTGCACCTACGTGAATCGCGTGGTTCGTGTCTTGTCCACGGCAACAGCTCCGCGAATTCCGTGTCCAAAGTCGCTTTGCATCGTTTGTTTTTCGGAGTTTACGATTCGCGGCCAGATGTCCCTTCCTCGCTGACGACTACACGCCCATTGATCGAAGTCCGCCCAGCAATCGGGTCACAATGTGGATGGAACCTCGTTCATACAGGACGGCAGTGCTCAGCTGAGGTGGTGTTCGACGCTACTCGTGTTCCGGGCCAGGATGGAGCATGTGGCCACGGTGAGGATGCTTCCTGCCTCCCCTCTTTTCTGCCCTCGTTCTTGCCTGATGTTTCCCACGTGTTTACATTACGTGTCCTGTGATTCCACCGTGCAGTGCGATTTCCGTTCTTCGTTTTGACTCTCAACTGACCCGTCGTTTCCATCATAGCTCTGTGCTCTTAGCACCGTAGGCATCGCCGCTACCGGCTTTGCTCTTGGTTGCCAGGAACGACGCTCCTTCTCTGCTTCTGTCGCCAGACGCAGGAATACTATATCTCGATGCACCCAATCCTCCTATCCAGCAACGCCTACGGATACAAATGGACCTCCTCGCGCCGGACAATTCGTAACAGATGCACCGAGCAATTGCACTGCCCACGGGAATGATGCGCAGGCAGACAGTGGGCGACAGATCATTGGAGACCAGGGGTTGACAAAGCCGGCGCTATTTCAGAGGAGAAGGGAGCGTCGTCGGCGACAAACCTATTCAAATCCTCCCCTCAAACCTTCTAGCGATTTTCCCTCGCCGGCACCAAACACAGCGCGACCAGCGACTTCGTGGTTGCGGCGGTTATCAGCCCTCTCATCCAATACGGATAGTCCATTGTCAAGTCCAAGGCCAGCATCCTCGTCGATGCATGGGTCGACTGCGCCCATAAGTCCTCGGGCTGAGCAACCTTCCCGGGGGCCCAACAAACTTGTGAAACGTTCAACTTCGCAGCATTCGATCTCTCAACCGAGTGGTCGGACGTTCACCTTTCGTCGACCCGCTACGAGTCATCAGAGATCGGCGGACATGGAATATTTAGCAACCCTGAAAAGCAATGAGGAACTTCCACGGACTCCCGCCACGCTCGAGGGCTCACGCGGACTTGCGAGTCAAAATGGAGCTGACAATATCTGGAGACCGTATTTTGGTTCTTCTCGGAACGAAGCGTTCGAAAAGCCTCCTGGGACATTCTCGACATCAATTAGGCCGAAAGACCCGCCAATTCAGCTCATTACACCAGACCGTAGCAAATACCCGACTTTGATGCTCTCTACATCTCTCGACTCGCGGAAGCCTAGACATGCCTCCGTGATAGAAACTCCGATCCCTTCATCGCATCTGCAATTTAACGATCCCTTCCAGCTGGCTAAGGATACCACGGACAACGCCAACTCCCCGGCCCCCAAAGACCAGCAGGAACCAAGGCATTCATTCTCGTTTAATGATATGACCGGGGGTAGTTCGATATCCCAAGTGGCATCGAAGACAGGGACCCTCCACAGTCCGAAGGATGACCCAGTGTTCCACTCGAAAACTAGAAATGTGTCAAATCCTCTGCCTCAGCGTTCGGAAAGTTTGGACCCAAATGCGCCCGTCACACCTCGATTGCGTAGGAAGAGAAACTTTACCGACTCCAGTGTCTTCCGTCGCCCTCAAACGGCTCCACACGGGGAATTCTCCATTCTAAAATCGTCACAGTCCCGAGAATCCCATCCCAACCCGGTCTTTGCTCCTTTTGGCATGTACGCGCCTACGGAAATAACACCGGGTTATCTAAATGGCCAGGTCAACAATGGATCGATCCATCAGAGTCCACCGAACCTCCAAGGTCCGGGTTCTCCGCCAATTGTCCGATACCCCCGGATCAAGCGCCTATCGGTGACTACATCCGACCGGGCATCGACAGTGATCGGTTCCGATGATACTCGTATCTTCACTTCCGGAGACGAGGACGAGACAGATTTCCAGAGCGAGTCGGTCTTTGATTCGTTCCGTACGCGCATCACAGCCAGCAGCCTTTCTGGACGCCGCGGCCCGAATATTGAAACAATATTCCAAGACATTCCAGCGGCCGAGATTGTGAAAGATAAACCGGCAACTTTTGATGACTTTGTATTGCCGGATTCGTTCTTGTCACAGTCAACGCCTCAATCGCCTTCTTCCATCAGTAACCTAAACTCCGTTAGTACGCCTGTTCCTGTATCCCATGTTAGGGATGAAGATGAAACCCCGACTCCATCGGCGAAAACTGTGTCAAGAATTACCATACCGTCGTCCCCATCAAAATCTGCGGAGTTTCAACGGGCCTATCAGGGGGGATCGGCATTAATAGGAGAAGGGAAACAGCAAGACGTGCCGTCGAGTCCTCCGTTTCGGGCAGTTGAGGACATGGAAGATGTCAAACTCGAGATATCTCCCAAAACACTCCCAGAGTCTTTGCCAGCTACCGTTTCTCGATCTGATGCTTCTGTGCTGACGAGGAAAACATCTGGCATTGGAACCAAGGCGAGCGTTTTTGACTGGTCTGAACCATCACTGAATGAACGTGATATGCAAAACTCGAACAATCGTCCGAGAACTGTTGATGGAAAACAGTGCACTGATGTGAGAAGCAGCCTCGGTCCAGGTCGTAAAGCACCAAGTATGGTGCATCTACGGAGCCAAAGCGTGCCTGTCTCAAGAGATTCACCCCCATCTAATCAACCTTCATTAAAGTTTGGCACCTGGAGACTCGGGAATAAAGGTGTCAGCGAAGACTGGGACGGAGATTTTGACTTTGGCGATTCTGACGACCATTCTGTGGATGAGGATGGGAAGATCGGTTCCGGCGGTCGCGATCATCATCATACAATGAAAGTTCCTCAGGCCATAATAGAAACTCAGGCCAGTGTGCGTGGTCAGTTTAGCCAGGTCCAAGAGTTGATGCTCCTGGTCGAAGAGCTCAAACGTCTTCGTATGCAAGGGAACATGTTGCGCGTTGTCGATGGACCGTCAAGCGAGCTCTGGAAGGAAGCAGAGGGGATTATCAATCTCGCAACAGTCGAGGACGATGAGAACAATTGCCCTCCTCCACTTTCGCCGTCATCCCATCTGAGCTTTGATAGCTTCGATTTTGATTCATCTCCAACTCAAAAGACGCCTAAACGGAATGATAATGACGTGAGACGACCACCTCTCTCAGACTGGCCCAACCCTAGTCCCAACACTTCCCCTTCTCGGCGAAATGACACCTCTACAAAAGCAATGACTGTGCTAGAGACTATTTCCCAACACCGAGAATCGTCAGACTCTCACTCGCCTTGCGTGTATCCGCAGCAGAAGCTGCCATTTGACACGCAATCTCTCCGGGATCTTGTCGTTCGGGCAGGTGTAGTGACACGTGCACTGAAAGAGGTGATCCGCAAGGCCGAGGGTGTTGAACCCATTTCTGAACCTCCTTTCCCCCAAGATCCGCCGTTTAGCCGAATCTTCGAACAGTCTGCATGAGATACGTCATAGTTGACGAGCTCCAGCAGTTTGGACAGCTTCAGGCACGTCCATGTGATGCACGTGAATTATCCTACGATCCTTTGGTAATGGCATGATCCTTTTCTAGTGTACATTCTTGTGTCTGGAGTCGGTTGGCTACACTGGACAAAAGTGTCGAGCATAATGATCGGTGTTTCCCTTCCCTTTTTTTTTCTTTTCTTGTGGTCTATATTACTCCTTACGTCGTCTCTTGGCATTTTCTCTTCCTTTGTCTTGAGTCCATACCGCCTTTTCCTTTTTTTTTTCTTTTGTTTCTTTTGTAAGCCAATGGCAAGCATGGATTCTGTGGCTGTTATTGTTGGGATGCTATTATGTGTGACATGAGGGAAAACTAGGGTTGGGTCAACCAATGGTTCTTGCATTTGCATATTTCATGGCATGGCGGTACATGCATGAGAGACCTTTTTGTTAGAGTAAAGCGAAAAAAAAATAGCCTTGCGGGAAATAATCACTATTCTCATGCCAAAGAAAGACAGTACTGATTCATCTACATGGTATCTATATATTTCCTTTCTCTCGACAGTAATGAAAAATACAGTGAACGGAGCATATCGAATAACTAGCTATCCAGAAAGCAGTACGGTACAGTACAGTAGTCTGACCGCCATGGCGTTGCCAGAAAAGTTCGAACTTAACCAGCCCTCTGTCCCTCTTGTCAGCGTATCAGCACAAGAAGTTTGAAGTAGGTCCTAACTGCAAGTTAAAGAGATTTCTATCTATCCATCCATCTGTCTATTATCTAAGTCAGTGCAGACAGGAAGAGAGGTCAAAGCAAGAGCAAGGAGGAATCCTTGGTCACTGTAACTGCGATATGATCTATATAGATATATATATTCATCCACCGAGAGAACGACGCTTGTAATATGGGCTGTTAGCTGAAAGTTATAGAATATACTACAAGGATCAAACTGGTGTCATGGCATCTTCCTTTTTTTTTGGCTGAGTTGGTAACGCCAATATGTATATACATCTATACATACATGTACTGTACTGTACATGTGTTATACATACATACATACATGCAAAATTATGGCCACTCATATCAAGCCGCATAAATAATAACCAAGTTCCCACAAACCTCTTGTTTGATCTCCCAAAATAAACATATGGACAGCATATGCCTGGGTATCTCGTAGAAAAAGAAAACAAAAAATGGTAGTATGCACAGGCCCCAAATGTCAGAAAGCAATTCAGGGGCATCTGGTTACACACACATATATATGTCTTTCTTGACATTTACCCACCTATTCTTGGTGATCACGTTCATCTTGACGGTCACGTTCATCTTCGCTTGCCTGCACGGCAGGAAAGAAGGCGGGCGCAAATTTGCTCTTTGCACGCAGCTTAGGACCGTAGAAGTAGAACATTACCGGAATAGGAACCAGAAGAGAGGCGACACAACCAAGTAAGGTGCCGGCCCAATTGACACCCAGTCCGTGGAACTGGATCGAGATTGTTAGTTCGGTTATGCGAGAAAGGAGCTTACTAACGGAGAATGCTACATACCATGTATTGCGAGAAGAGGGGGAACCCTGCTCCCGCCATGGACCGCAGAAATGTGTTTGCAGCAACGGCAGAGGCAGCACTGAAAGAAGCAAAACAGTCAGTATCAGAGAAAGAATGAAGAATGGGTCGGCGGTCCTCCAATAGAGGGGTGGAACACATACAAGAGCAAATACGCGTCCACGATATAATTCAGAGATTGCAGAAAAATTGCCAGAAGACCAAAACCGGTCAAAAGACCAGACAGAGTAGGAACAATCCAGTGGATCGACGCTTTGTATCCCGCCCAGCCAAACCAGAAGAGGCCCCCAGCAAAGGCAACACCTCCAATGATGGCGGGAGGTAAACGCCACTCTGGAACAGGTATGTCATTGTTGGCTTGGAGTTTTCTATTGTATTGAGGTTGCTGCAAGATGATGAACAAACCCCCCAGCAGCTGGCCGACGACCATGCCAAAATATGGGAGACCGCCGACACCTTTATTAAAGCCGTGAATCTGTTGGAAAACTATGGGATATGCGGTCATGAAAAGATAGAGGAGTCCATATATGAAAGCCATGTAGATACTCAGGAGGAGGACAATAGGCTCGGTCACTAGGATTCTGAGGGGCCGGCTAAAATTCTTCTGGATCAATTCTCCAAAATCAATTTCGATCTCCTCCTGCTTGGCGTGGATGCCCCAGTTCTTGGTCCGGCGTCGCAGCTCGGCAGCTTTCTCAATCAAGACGACCGGGGGATAAGTTTCATGAAAGAAGAAAAGGTCGAGGACCAATGCCAGGGCACCCATGATCCCAGTAATGTACTCCGTCCAGCGCCAGCCGAGATAACTGTCCACGATGAATCCACCTACAAAAGGTGCAAAGAGCGGTCCCATGAAGACGGTCATGGAGAAAACGGTGATGGCTAGACCTCGAAGGCGGTTGTCGAAAATGTCGGAAAAGACGGCAGCAACAACTGCGATTGGACACGCGCCAAAGAAACCCCCAAAGAAACGACAGAGCATGATCGTTTGCAGGTCTTTGGCCGTGGCCACGGCAAACTGGAAGACGGTGAAGCCAAACATACTGAGGAGGATAGGTAACCTTCGACCGCGCAGCTCCGACAGGGGCGCCCAGCAGATCGGCCCAGTTGCAAAGCCAAGGACGTAGAGAGAAAGGCCGAGCAGCGCGACCTCGTTCGAAACATGGTAGATAGCTGCGACATTGGTGGTAGCGGTGGAGAAGATGCTGCTGGTAAAGGTCGAGACCAACGTCGTGTATGAGAGCATGACGCTCGTAAAAAACCTGGGAACGCAGTCAATATATGCACACGCAAAGCAAACGCAAACGAGTAATCACCGACTTTTTCTTCAACGACCAATTCTGGGGGTGTAGAGGGTCATCAGGCCCGTCGAATTCGACGACATAGGCCTCCTTCTCTGGCAGCGGCGGAGGGTAGGGCTTGCCAGCCCCAAATGGTGGCAGAGGCTTCTTCGAGACGCGGGTCTTAAGACCGGCGCCAACAGTCCCGCTGTGCTGGCTTCGCTGGGTTGCGATGCGGCTGAGGGCTGTGGGATGTCGCTCCAGGTCGTATGAAGATTGGATCTCTGAAGTCTGGATCTCTCTCATGTGCGGACCGTCCTGGAGCTCGGAGGAGGAACTGCTGGAGAAAGAATCGGACGAGGAGACAGAGCTGGAGCGAGCAGCCTGGCTTCCCTGGTCAACACCCTGGCGGGAACGGCTGGCGTCAAGCTCTGCCTTCTCCAGCTCCCACGATGCTTCGTCCATGATCGATCGGTCGTTTCCGGATTCGGATATATCCTATTTAATCGACGTGTTGCAGGATACTCCGCCAATGGTCTCTCGAAGAGATGGACCGAGAGCTCCTTTGGGACTTCGGAGAACGGCCTCTCGAAGGGTGACCATGGATATAAATCATAAACCAAATGGCCAAAGAAGGCAGCAAACAACGTGGGGGTAGAAGGCGATGAAACGCAAGCAATCCACAGCGCAACAACGGCTTGGCGGGTCTAGAAGCGGGCCGAGTGGCCGCGGTGATGACCTCACAGGCGGCAATCCGGTCAATCAGCATCATGGGCTGAAAGGGCAAAAAACTTTGCTAGAAGCCGGGTTGCCTTTGGATCCTGCTGGAGCTTGGAGTGCGGCACCAGGAGCCATGCCGCCATGATTGGCCCGTTCAGCAACGATCTGTATCGAAGACATGTCGTTCCGAGATCGATATCGATGTAGTTGTGTATCCCAGTCGTAGGGCGGTCTTGAACACAGGACAGGATACAACACTTAGAATTCTTTTCTAGAATTATCATTATCTCCCTGCTATCTTCAAAACATCATCAGCCCAACGGTAAGCTTTCCTACAGTGGCAACATTTGACCTAGGTACGCTTATCTTTTCCGAATAGTTCACCTGGCGGAGTGGCTGCTTCCCGCCCGGTTGTTGAGATTTATGCCCAATTGCGGATCCAGATTCCCGGAACCCTACCGAAAAACACTAGAAGCCCTAGAAGATTGACTTTGTAGGGAGTAGCGTTTTACTTTTTCCTTTTTTTGGCTTGTCGTTTATACCGCTTCCGGTCGGCTACTATCGGTAGGAAACGGCTAAACGAAGTCGGAAGCAACAGAACACGGAAGCAGGGAAAAATTTTTTTCTTATAGTACATTGCTATTTTATACTATTTACCAATTATGTCGGATGCCTGATTCTATTTTTGCCTTGTTGACTCACAGACAAAAAAGTCATGCTTGAAGGTTCGGTGATTCAAGGTGCGTCGATCCTCAGTGGGCCTCGGAATGGCCCGACGGGGCGGAACCATGACGTTGTTCTAGAATGCGAAGACGCCTCCATACAAGAAGAGAGATTGTTGAGTACGGAGACTAAACACAACAATTGACCCGGCTATCAATTGCTCTTAGATGTGACTATATATATAATAACTACAGTACAAAACAACTGGAGTGCAAGAAGTTGGGAATTATTGATTGATGGCCGTGCCCTACCGAGTACTTCGTAGACTTTTGAGGCTCTGTTACTAACTTGGACTAAAAGGGAATAGTCAAAAAGAAGCAAAACTCGCGGCAGATCCATCGGCAAAGCAGGATGACTTCTGCTTACAAGAACAGAGAACAAGAGAAATCTGCAGTTTAGAAATCAAGAAGGATGTCATATTTGTAGGTCTCAATGCTCGCGGTTTATATGTGAACCCCCCCCAAAAACACCTCCAAGGAGCAGTCATGCTATAATTTTGACGATGTGTGCGCATTGTATGGATGTAGATACTTTCGAGAGTTGGATACTGCCAGATTCTTTCTTCCACCCCACCTTTGATGGTGTGCTATCATCAGATTGGGCGTTTACACCGCCACTTTGCGCCAGAGATGATGAATGGAAGAAGGGGACAATGGAATCAAGGAAGAAAGTGCTTCTCTTTACATAATCTGCTGTCTCCGTCTGGACTCATGATGATTGTTCATTGAGGGGCAGAACCGTGCTTATTAACAATGTCTGTTGGGCATGCCGTCACCTGACCAGTACCTCCAAGGCTGCATTGAGCTTTGCCCGTCTGAGACGAGGATAAATCTGTAAAGGAAAAACCCATCCCTAATGATCTTTATCGCTTTGAATTCACAGCCACAAGATATGATTGCTACCAGAGAGATAAATTTTGCGATCTGCTGGAAATTTTGTTGATTATTTTCTTTCTTTCCATCTACCAACCGAAACACGCTTCCCAGTTGAGTTCATTAGCTGATATCACCCCTTGCCTTACCTGCATCATAATAATGACAACCACATGAGAACGGCTCTTGGGTCAACTTGCCGAAAAGCTTATTCTCGAGTTTATCCTGGAGGTGTACGTAGTGCTCTGTATGGTTTGAGTAACCCCATAAACGGCATAAATGGACCGAGCAAGCATTTGTGGTCTACTCCGTAGACTGAGGGCTTCATCTAATAGCCTTACCACAGATCATGAATCGTGATAGATGAAGGATGATTTCTTCTGCAGCCATTTCGCAACAAAAACTGCTGATGCTACTGCAATTTGGGTCTAGGTCCCTGTCACAAAAATAATGAATCCCCTTGAGGCTTCTGATAAGGAGACTATCCAAATCGGTAATTGCTTTGGCTGCACTGGTGTTCCAAATTAAGGATGTGTGCTTCGATTAATATTGCAGGCATAATGTAGGGATGGATTCTGCGAGTATGCAGAGTCGATCCTCGTCTGCATTGTGCAGCGCACTACACTCTGGGTATCTGGCGTCGAAAGCGAACTACTCTCCAATCAGGAAATAGCCCGTAGATTAGAACTTGCAAGATTCTGAGTCATTGAAAAGGAGTTGGCAAAGAGTTCACCTCACTCACTCTCCTGGTCGTTATCTAAGATAACAGCAAGCGCTTGGTTATCATGTGCCACTAAGCCCTCTCGGGTAGATTTGCGTGTAGCCCGGCTGTGATGGGCTGACAACAAGCCTTGCCGCGCCTGGCGTCTCACGTCAAAGCAAAATTAGAACAGACTCCCTATATTTATTTGTGCCAAAATATTCTGACTTGGTTGAAACGGCCAGGCGCAGCCACACTCCTGGTGGCGCATCACCGACTCTCCGACAGAAGGCGCGATTCTGCGAGACGGGCAGCGGCAGCCCGCTGGGCCGGGGGGCTGAGCGGCTAAGCCGTTTGGCGCATCGTGCAGGCGGCCGTCGGCTTGGCGCCGGCCTGGCCCGCCACTATTGGATGATCTCTGGCGGCGTTCCTGGCCTAGCGGGCGTAGCGCCCCCCCGCTCCTGCTGTTCGCAGCATCCCGACCGTCGACTCCTGAATCCTGTTCCTGCCTGATGGGGAAGACGGTGCTGCCATGTGTCGCTCCTCCCAAACCACAGCGACATTCTGTCCGTCAGGAAACAGACTCCATCATGGCATAGAGTACCGTCCTCTGAAGCAGTCTGAAGCAGTCTTGTTCAGGAAGCGGTAATTTGTTCGAGGATGGCGAAGACAGCACCCATAGCATGTCCTCCGTATGTCCTCCGTATGTATCTGTACCACGCACCGAGCCAGGCGATCCAATGAAACAGCCCGCTTGTGCACTCCACTCCTCCGCCCTGTCTGGATTCTCCCTACTGGCGCCCTGTTGGCTCCATATCTGCACTAGGCTTCGGCCGCTGAACGCGATGAGGGTCCTGGTCAAGAAGGGGATTCCGGAACAGCACCGTTCGTCTCCTCTCTACGGTGTAGCCGTAGGCCCCGAACGGCCTAGCCCTCCTCGCTCTCATTTCACGTCTCGTTCTCTCGCTTCTCTGTGTCTTCTCCAACTCTTCATCCTACTACACCAACAGGAGTGCATCTCCAGCCGTTCATTCCCATTCTTCACACGCTCTCTTTTTCTGCTGGCCCCTGGCCGCCGTTCTTTTCCCGGGACGTCGATTGTCCCATTTCATTCTCTTGGTTCTTCTATCACCTGGGTCACTCGTTCGGTCTCGCACCCGAGGTCCTCCGGCCGCGTAGTCACCCGTTCTGTTTCCGGTTTAATGTTTGAATTCTGATAGATACTTGTCGCATCTTCTTCTATCTTGCCTTGACGATCCTGGAATGATCTGACATTTGCCATTTCGTCGAGATTCGAGTGTTGACACCTGAAAAGCACATGTTGGTTGTTTCGAAACAACCCTGATCGACAGCTGTTCTGCATCAATCAGTCAACTACGATTCCCCCAGATTCTCGAGTGCAGAATTGTTGAATCAACGAAGGCAAAATGCATCATCATTTGCATGCCAGGCACCATGCAATCCACCACCCGGAAAAGAGAATCGCCCGGCCAGAACCGGTGCCCCAGGACCGTATCCCTCATCTCACTGTTGTTCGAGAGACCCCAAGTTTTGTCAGAAGAGCAGCTCCCAGCTCAACCTGCGGATCCGATAACAACTCTCCGGCCTGTGAGAAACCCACCAGCTCGAACCTGACTACCACTTTACCCGTCGTTCTCGGAGCAGTGTAAGTCTAGATCTCGTTTACTCGCCGCTGGGAGCTCAACAACAAAAAGGGGGAGCCGGTACTGACCCAGATCTAGGATCCCGATCCTCTGTGCCGTGATCGTCTTGGTCATTCTACATAGACGACATGTGAGAAAGCTTCAACATGAGGATGCAAACGACAAGCACAAGTCGTTAGATTTTGGCATGGATTATGTAGAACCAGGTAAAGGGAAGGGCGGAAAGGGACCGGAGATGTCGACGACCGGCGAGAAGAGCTCACACAAACGCGGGGGAATGTCATTGGATATTGGCAACAGCCCTTATCTGCTTCCGCCTGGCCTCCACAATTCCAGGGAATCGTTGCGTTCACTTTCGCGATCGATTAGTATTGATGATGACAAGTATCGCCCTGCCACGAGCTTGGGCGCTGGCGACAATGCCTCTCTACGATCCTATCCAAAATGGGGTCAGGATGACGCCTCCAGTATTGCGGGATCGGCCAGACGTGCGCCGGTCGATGACATGCAACAAGGTCTTCTCCGGAATGCTCAGCGAATTTCGACGTCTACCCCGCCTCCTGAGGTTAAGCCTATGGACAACAATATTCACGGACCTATGAAGGCCGAGCCGGATCACATCCATACGGAAAACGGGCCGTCACGAAGCGTGGGCCGTGAAAATCCGTCTCCTGAAGCAGCTCAGCTGGCTCCGAGCCATGCTAGCGTCCACGGAGGGGATCTCCCCAAGGGCAACAATGACCTGGGGCCTGTCAGTCACAGCCAAGAACCGTCCTCGGATGCTCGCAAGGAAGACGCAGATCATCCGGCCAGCCCCGTCAAGGACGAAGGGCTTCCCGGACAAGCATTGACTACAAGAGATTCCGCTCTAGATGACTTCAATTTTTCATCCCATGAGCATGATTCGTCCCCCAGTCATCAGCCTATTCCAACGATTCAGGAAACCCCGGCTGCTTCTGGTTCTGCGGCTCCTCCCCGAATCTCACTTCCCATGAGTGATGGCGCCAGTGACTACGGAGATGATTCGAAGGCCGAGCCTGCAGCTCCGGCGGTCAATGTCTCTGCGGAAGAACCGCCCAAGCAGACAAACCGAGTCTCCCAGTCCGCCAATCGTCTCACGCAGAATTTCTCCAGCTTCGATGACGGTTTCGACCCGCACCGGTTGACCGTCGGTATTCGGCCTCTGCCTCCCGAAGATCCTTCGGACAATCCCGAACAGCGCGCCAACAGGATTCGGTCCTTTTACAAGGAATATTTTGACGACGCCAACAAGGGCGGTCAAGAAGAGTACTCGGAAGACTTTGGCCCCGAGTTCTATGAGGGCGTTGTATATGATCCCGCTACGGGAGACTACCTCACGGGACCACCCAAGCCGTTTGCTCAACCGGATGGTCGCCGCGCCATGACTCCTCCCCCGCGCTTTCAAGGACCCCCGAGGCATAGGGCGTCGAATTCCGTCGCTGGTAATTTCCGGCCTCCTCCCGGTCCTCGCGCTTTCTCGTCGGCTTCCGGTCGACTTGCAGCAGGACCGCGAGCACCTCGGAAGCCCGCCCCTCCTCCTGAGCCGCTTAAGGTTCTGCCATCTCCTCACATGCTCAAGGATGATAATATCACACCCATTGATTACGCTCCTGGAAAGACGATTAAAGACCAGAAGGAAGGCCGGCCAGACACTCCTAAGGGTGGGCTGCGTCCGTACACGCCAACGGTACCGGCCCATGTCCCCTTGGTTTCGGCGTTCGATGATCTCGCAGCCATACCGAGCCCGTAAGTTCCCTTATCTAGTCCTCTCTCCCCTTTCTGTCTGAATGGGATCGACTAACTGCTTTTTGTTGTAGTCATGCGCTGCGGAAATCGGGAGTGTACGGGACATTGGACTTTGCTCCACCCGTGCGATTTAAGAATAACGAGACGGGCAGTGACGCTGGCAGCATCCGCAGCAACCGAACCGGCATCTCGGCTACTCACCTTCACAACATCCGCACTGGTGCGTATCGGGTCAGTCGTCTCCCAGCAGACACTGTGGGTACAAAAGATGATATCGCATCCAGCCTGCGTCCCAAGTGGGATATACGCTAGACGCCGCAGCTGCCGGTTTGTTGCCGTCCATCTGTGCAATTTTCTTCGTTCCTAATGATGCTTTGTCACTACCCTTGCGGGTCACATCATGACTTGTTTTTGATCGGTCCAGTCCTTTACTCTATCTGATATATTGGGGTTGCAACTGTGGGTATTTAGGATATCGTTCCAATTTTTTGACGTCAATGGCGTACATAGACTACTGTGTATCATTACTTTTTCTTTTCTTTTCTTTTCTTTTTAGCCCTTACTCCGCTGCTGTGGCCGCTGACATCTCTCCTGACCTCATTTCCTGATGATGTGTTCCTTTTCGAGAACGGGCACTGCAGAACGAGAAGCGAGCGGATGCATCGAGAGCGGGTTCTGACTGCACCGCCAGGGATATTTTGGTTAAGGGTTCTTTTTTTTTTATATGTATTTTGTCTTGTCTTTACCAATCGGCCTTGGACGTTAGGAGTAGAGAGATCAGGGAGGTTTTTCTTTTCTTCGTCCGTCCGCGCTTGAAAGAACGCCGCTAGTGTATGCACTTTCGGTGAACATATATATAATTTACTGTGGATGGATAATTTCAATAATCATGGAGTTTCCAGTCTTTGACGGAACGTCAATTGACTGCTATCTCAGAGTCGCTACGCGACCGCCGTGTTTCTCATTTTTGGCAGGCTCTAGATGTGGCTTGTGAGGATCCAGCTAGATAATCCCCACGTATTTAAGTTACCATGAGATCACCACTCTCCGCCATGCTATTCGCATGATAATTGGTACGGAGGGTTGGGCTGCGAATGAGACAATTACCTGCAGATTACTCTGTATTCCGTGCTGTTTGTCTCTTTCTGAACTGGGATAATAATGCATTGAAGGGATCCAGCCCAGTGGCCAATTACGTCCACTGGAGGAGGGCTGTTAGGTAATGCTGGATGCAATCATGTGCCTGCGTGGTGTGAGGGCTGCCGAATTTGGAATCGCGGCTTACTAAGCGGTCTGGTTCCTCGCGGGTCCGCATGCCGAGCGATTGGAGTTTCAATAATTAGAAGCACTGTAACGGCGTTCGGGTACGGTAAAACTCTAACCTGCACTTGGCGAGCTGATTCAAAAGTACTTCCGAGAACTTAGAGGTTGGCCTCATGACATCAAGTGCTGCGTTGCGACTTGCAAGTCCAATGATTGCTGGCGCCCTACTGCATGGAGCTGTATGTTGCTGACCTCATCTTTCGTACGTTTTGATCCACAGGCCGCAGACTTGTTTGTTGTCTTAGCGGCTGTGCAAGTGCTGCTCGTAGATTCCCTAGAGAATATTCCTGTTATTCTTATTATTCGGCACGTGTCAAAGACAATGTCTTTCTTAAGGTGTGGAAAATCCCATAACTAGAATCGAAAAAAACTGTAAACAACCTAGTGTTGCAATTGCGATTACCCGCCCATGCGACGCAATTGGGCCACCTGGAAAGTTTTCCAATCCCATGGTCTGCGCAATTGATTTCCGTTACGGTTTGGAACCCTGGTACATTACAAGCAAGGTTCCAGTCTAGTAGATTTTTTTTTATCTCGATCAAAGCTCAAAGCATTGTTGTTCGTTTATTGCTGCAACGCTGGACGGTTGTTTCCGTCCAGATCGCGGTGGGTCAACAAAGGCGTGCCTGTTGAACTGTTCGCGGGCTCCATGGGGTCGATCCTGTCCGCATGAGATACAAGATGGATCATGGAAGGCTTCGAAGAATGTACAGTACAGACTTCGATCAGATCCGATCCCATCACCCACCCGGTCAATGGGCTTCACAAATGACGAAACGGGTCGCCGAGGCCAGCCACGCAGCTGCTGGGCTGAGCCCGGGCAGGTTCCGGTAGCGATTGGTTCGCTGTGCACAGCCGCACTGGGTTTAGCAGGCGTTAGTAGTTTCTAGTGCTTTTCCACCTCCAATTGCTTCCGTGTTTTTCTGGACTCTCTGCAGCCCATCTCCACTCCTCCCCTCTGGATGGCAGTCGTAATAATAACTCGTCCATAGCGCCCGGCCACGCCGTTCTCCCTCCTCCCCCAGGCACCTGGGCTAATCATCACTCCAAGTGTCTACGCGGCCATAATAAGCGACCTTCAGAAGCCGGAGCCCTCTATCGCCCCCCTTCTTGCTCCCCTGGGCCGTGGTTACAGTCCTGCGGTCTGCCGTCGTCTTTTTCTCGAACGTCTTGTAACTCCGCACGCTAATTCTCAGGGGAACCATCGCTTGTCTCGTCGTTCCCTCGCACCCCTCTAGGCCCCCAATCCACCAGCCCCGTGCTCCGCTATCCTTTTCCCTCACTCGCGTCCGGGTTCCACCATTGACTCTCACTCTTATCAGCAATCTGCTCGGTGCTCTTAGGAAGCTTCTGGTGTGCTGCCTCCATACATGGTCGGACGGTGAATTGCACCGGGCAGTCACTCGTTAGCTCGCCTCTCGCGGCGGACTGTCTGCGCGCGCAGACATCGCAGCTCATCAACTCCTGCCTTTCGTGCTGCTGTCGCATAGATGCAAATTCCTGTTCACTCCTACCCATGTCTGTCGACCGTGTGCCTTCCAATTGACAGCCATCCTGCACCGTATACGGGAAACACCTGATTGGAGACGACGCGTGCTGCCGTTTGTTCTGGCTGGGTGCAGAGCTTGAGGATCCTGGTAATCCATCATCTGCATCGGGAGGAGTTTTTATAGCGCAAAGTCGAGGAATTATTAAGGCAGTTGAGCTCCAAGAGACTCGGCCGTTTTCGGATTATCGCTCTGCTCCCGCCAAGATATTTTTTACGTTCCTTCAAGATGGCTGCGAATCCTGGAAGTATGAGACACCCGTCCTTTGTGCTCCCTTTTGCCAGTTGGACATTCAATGGATGCTAACCTTATCTTTTAAATGATTGACAGCCTCCGCAGTAGCTCCAGTGGCGACCACGCCGCCAGCTCAGCAGACACCGTCAGCGTCGCCAGGGTCAGCAACTCCAACAACCTCCTCATCATCAACGACATCAGAAAGCTCCACATCCAGCACCACGTCCACTACCACATCGACAAGCACGTCTTCTTCGACATCAGAAACTTCGTCAACTCCGCCGCCGCCAACGACGACGCCTACACCTGTTATTACACAAGCCACATCGATGGTCACGTTAACTACGTCGAATGGTGGCGCTCTGACGACTATCATCATCACGTCGACCGCTTCACCAGAACCGACAGACACACAGTCGCGCAGTAACTCGGCGACAGCAACTGCAACAAGCGGAGCGGCCTTGCCTACAGTTTCGGATGCCTCTCAGTCTTCCGGCGGGCTCTCGGCTGGTGGGACGATAGCAGTCGCCGTGGTGGTGCCTGTTGCCTCTGTTACGCTTATTATCTGTGTTCTAATTTGGTGGTGGAGAAAGCACAAGGCCAAGAAACTGGCTGAGGAGCAACGTCGGAAGGAAGTGGAGGAATATGGGTTCAACCCGAACAACGATCCGACTCTGCCAGGCATGGCCAGCACGTATGGCGAGAGTGAGTCCAATTCGGGATATCGAGGCTGGGGAACGACCTCCAACCCCCGCAAACCGTCCACCAATCTTTCAAGCGGAGTTGGCTTGGCCATGTCGGAGAATGGAAGCGCAGGGTACCATCACCATGCCGCTTCTCCAAGCGACGGAACGGTGCAATATTCCGATGGCCAAGGAAGACCCGAGTCTGGTGATGCCGATGCTCTGGCCGCGCTGGGGACTGGACCTGCTGCATCGAACAATCGGACTACCGATATTCACCGCGGCCCGTCGAATGCGTCCTCCACGTATTCGGCCGGCAACCACTCGGAGGGTTCGGAGGATGGCCACATGGCAAGTTCCCCTCCTGGCGCACACTATTACGATGAGGGGAACCCTTACTACAACGATATTCACGGCCAAGGTCCGTACGACCACGGATATGGAGGCGCACCCCCAGTCATTCGGGATGTTCAAGCACGGCGGAACACTCGGATCGAAAACCCGACCATCTTCCCCCAGCAAGGCAATGCAGGTATTGCTCAGAATTTCTAGAGGCCCCTCTGGAGTGCCGCATGCTACATTGCCATCCGCATCCCCTTTCCGCTCTTTCTGTTGACGCTGGGAAGGCCTAATCATCGACTACGGCTCGTTTTTTCTTTCGTTGTCGATCGTTTATCGCATGTTGTGATTCGTACTGGTAGCTTTAATGTGCGAGTCTCTCCCTTGGTCCACAAGGCCTCCATCCGCTCCGATCGAAGCCTATCCTTTGCCTGATTCCCAGCGAATTCGTGATTCCTTTCTTTCCTTTTTTTTCCCCTCTCCCGACTTTACTTCTGTTCTTGCATGTAACGATTCTTTTGCCGTTGTGTCATTTAATTTTGATCATATTTCATGGATACTTTGCGCACTGCACAGATTATTTCCCTTTCTTGTGGATCTTGTCTTGCACACTGCATATTCTGCTGTGATTCGAAAAAAAGTTATCCTTCGCTTTTTTTTTTCTTCTCCTTCGCTGTCATTTTTACCATGTAACACGAGGTCTCTGTTGCCGTCCGGTTTTGGAAGATATGCTCGGGGACTTGTAGCCATACATACGATTCAATCGTTCTTGTGTTTCCTATTGTTTGGGCAGAATCGAAGTTGGAATGCAGGCTCCATGGTCACGTCCGTCGATGTATGTATGTAGGTACAGTTAATCCCGGTTATTAAATGTTCGTTTCGACCTGAATTGAGGCTGTAATCGTAGCGATCTGTGTTTAGCGCCAGATCTCCGAGGCTTTAGCGCGGGCCGTTGGAGCGTCCGGCAGGCTGGAACGTGCTGCAGGCGGCGACGGCGATTGGTGCGCCGCGGCGTCGTCCATCGTCCATCGCCGGCAGATCGAGAGACAGTCGTCGAGCTCTCCCAGCAGCCGGCCAGTGCTTGCCAGCTTGCCCAGTGCCTCCCTGCCTCGTCCTGCTGAGGCGCTTTTGCCGCCCCGTGCCCCGCAGCATTCTGTTCTTGCAGAGACTCAGCCCCTCGGATCTCTCGTCTCTCGCGCATCCTCGATCCGGCGCTGGTTCCTGGCCGACTTACTGCATCGGCTGAGTCAACCTCTGCATCAATCGCTCGCTTCAGAAGCATTCCCGGACCGTGTGCCTTTTCTCGCTCGCTTGTCGCGCAACTGCTCCAGTTTTCCGGCCTGGTCAGCCCTTGTGGGACATTTTCTGCTGCATAAGAAGAGCACGAAGAATCCTCACTGCCCGCGGCACACCACTGACGTCGCGCCCCTCCAACAAGCCAACGACGGATCTTCGCTTCCTGTGCAACCCTGTGTGCTATGGACGCTGTTTAATTTGCAATGATTTTGTAGCCCCGTCCGTGCCGCCTGCCCATTTTCTTGCTGTCACCTGGACCCTGCGGGCCTGGCCTATTATTCTTTGCCTCGGTTCCATCTCCTGCGGTATCTCTGGAATTGGACAGGTACTGCGCTGGGGGTTGTCTGTGTGTGTGTATGCGCACATTCAAGTGACCCGCTCGCTGTCCCTGACGAAAGTCTCATGCGGTTGCAGTCCTATTCGTCGCTCTCTTCTCTATCGCTCGTCTTGTCCGTTCTGTCTCCGTCCTACCAGACGTGTGAAGGACCTGGCTAGAGGGGAATCGAGTATTTAGGCCCTTCCGTGCGCTGCTGGCCACTCCACCATGTACGTTTCCCCCGTGCAGCTCCGATCCCTGCGAGGCTTCAATGCGCAGACATAGCGGTTGGAGTGGACAGTTCGGGGGAAAAAAATGGGGATCTCGCTGTTGCAAGAGAGTAGCAGGCGTTTACCCACCTGTTTTTGTCGGATACTGATTCCTATGGTGTCTGTGCAGGAAGTTCGGAAAGCAGATTCAGCGTAGGCAGCTCGACCTCCCCGAGTATGCCGCCAGCTTTGTCAACTATAAAGCCCTGAAGAAGGCAAGCATTCCAACCTTGCGCCATGCGATAGCCACTCAACGTCACTCTGCTGCTAACTTCTTCGTCTTCAGCTCATCAAGCAGCTGAGCGCAACCCCGACGATCCCTGCTCAAGGTGCCACGAATGTCACCCAAGACCCGCTTGATCCGCAAGCCGCTTTGCGGGCAAACAAAGAAGTATTCTTCTTTCGATTAGTATGTGTCCCATATCTAGAATAACTACGAGTCGCGTGCTAATGGATTACCTGCAGGAACGCGAGATTGAAAAGGTCAATGCCTTCTATCTACAGAAAGAAGCAGAGGTGAGATATTCCGTCAATGCCGGCATGAGTCCGTGCGGCGGCTGATCCTGGGAAACAGTTCTCCCTACGGTTGAAGACGCTTCTTGATAAAAAACGGGTGGTCCAGTCCCGTACAGTGTCGAACTCCAAGGCTCCTGCCAACTTCGTTTCCCTGTTTGAAGGCTTCCAGCAATTTGACAGCGACTTGAACAAGCTTCAGGTAAGACCGATATCCATAAGACAAGCTTAGGACCCGAAAACTCACAAATGGGGGGGGGGAAAAAAGCAATTCGTCGAAGTCAATGAGACTGCTGTATCAAAAATACTTAAAAAGGTTCGTCGATTTATGGTGGGATACTGGGCTTGCTCGGTTCGCGATGTGGCTGACGAGAACGGTAGTGGGATAAAACCTCAAAGGTCCGAACTTGGTGTCCTCCTTCTTGATCGATCGCAATCCTGTCCTTGGATGGTCTTGCTAATACTGCCTTTAGTCCCGGATGAAGGAGCTGTACCTCCATCGGGCGGTCGAGGTTCAACCCTGCTTCAACAGAGAAGTGCTCCGTGATTTGTCAGATCGAGCAACGACTACACGGTTAGAGCTGGAAGCGTGGGCCGAAGGCGAGAACATCCAATTCGATGCCGCCCGTCCCTCCGAGCGAACAGGAACGGGACAGCATGTCGGAAGTGAGGAGGATGAGTCGGATCTGCAAGTCCTTCAGACTTCGGCTGCTTCGGGAAATCCGCAGATACTGCGTGAGTGGCTCGTGAAGCTCCAGTCGTCCCCGGACGGTAGGGATCGAACAACGCGACTGTTTCTGGCTGCCATCAATGAGTTCTCAGATGATATTCTTTCTATTCTGCTTGACAGTGGCCTGGTGGATCTTCATGCGGAAGACGATATCAACGGACGCAACTGTCTTCACGAGGCCGCTATCTCCGGCCGGAACTTTGTCTTTAAAGCCGGTCTGTCTGGAGGTGTTGATATCTCAAGGTCTGACGTGTACGGCAGAATTCCGCTTCATTACGCCTGTATGCACGGCCGGGTGGAAATGGTGAGTGATCTACTCGCGGCAGGGCCTGAGACGGTGAATATGTTGGATCACGATAATTTTACGCCACTTATCCATAGCATCGTGCGAGATCAGCTGGCTTGCGCAGAGCAACTCCTGCGCAACAAGGCGAGGATTGACCCCGCCTCTGAATCCGACCACATCCCGCTCAACTTGGCTTGCCAGCACGGGTCGATACCCATTGTCAAGATGCTCCTCGAAAGAAACGCATCCCTGCTCCCAGATGCCGAGGGTCTCTACCCCCAGCATCTGGTGGCCCGGTCCGGTCGATCTCCTGAACTCCTGCTGCTCCTCAAAAACCACGGGGCCGACCTCAATCAGAAAGACAAATTGTATCAATGGACGCCCCTGTTTCATGCGGCAAGTGAGGGCTGCGTGGACTGTCTGCGGACTCTATTGGAGCTAGAAGTCGACACCTCCGTTGTGGACGAGAAGGGCCTCTCCGCAATGTATTACGCCGCGTGGGAAGGGCACCTCGAGTGCATGGTCCTTCTGTGGTCGAATCGCGCCAATTCAAGACTTCCACATCGGCCTCTGGATGTTCTCAGCGGCCTGCAACGCGGAGGGTTGACATCGGCACCAGACGAGATTCCGACCGAAACAGCTATGTCGCCTGACATGGAGGCCGCAGACGGTATCCCGGATCTGTCCCTTCCACCACCCATCATACCCTTGCGTCGTTACGGACATAATTTCCTGGATACCAAAGCATTTATCCAAATCTACTTCGACCCATCGGGTCCCGGGTCCATTGTATTCGACCACACTGGCCGCTATCCGGCCGCTCGGCTGACCATGTCTTCCAAGCTGTCCGATGTGATTCCACGGACCATTATGCTTCCTATCCAGGAAGACTCCCGAACGGTATCCTTCCAGGTCGACAACCTTGAGACGTTTGCCATTGATTTCGAGATTTTCCCAACGTTTGGCTCCAAGGTGATAGCCAAGACAGTTGCCCTACCGTATTTGTTTGCGGCGGAAAATTCGAGCGCGGGGTCCTGCTGCTTGCCATTGTTTGATCCCAGGCTTAGGTCAATTGGTCATATCCGCTTTAACTTCCAGGTCATCAAACCGTACTACGGTGACCCCCTCGAGATCACGCACTTTGCCACATACTGGAAGGCAACCAGCGCCATTGACTCGGATCACAACGGGCTGATCACTGGCTCCAGTCTTTCTGGAGACTACGTTCAGCTTTTTGTTCAGCTCACAAAGGACCGGCATCCGGTCTTGCATCCATTATTTGCTCTTGACCATCATGGTATCGACATACCCATCTGCTCTCTAACTTATGAACAATTTACGGCCATTGGTCAAGCAAGGGGCGTCGATCGCCTTTCAATACTCGAGTCGCTGCATGACAAAACCGCTGACGATATCGCTGAGATTCACCAACAACTTGCTACATCATTCCTGTCCTTGCGGGATGTACTCAATCACCTCCCTGTTGGGATCCACGTGAATCTCTCTATCCTTTACCCATCCATGGCTGAAGAGCAGAGACTGGGCATGACATCCTTGGCCGACATTAACAGCTTTGCGGATGCTATACTCACTGTTGTCTTTGACCACGCGCGAGCTTCTCGAGAGAAAAATCCTGATTTTATGCGGTCGGTCGTCTTCACATCATACAATCCCAATATCTGTACAGCATTGAATTGGAAACAACCCAACTGTAAGTATTGTATCCTTGTCTTTAGAGGCTATGTTCATCTGATTGACTCTGCCACAGACCCAGTTCTTCTATGCAACGATCTGGGGCAGATCAGTGATTTTACCGGCGACGTGGAAGCGCAATCTGCGGTTCAGTCCAGTGGTCGTGCTTCGATGTCAATAAAGGAGTCCGCGCGAATAGCTCAGAGCAATAACTTTATGGGATTGATATGTCGGTCAAGTCTATTGGTATGTCAATTTCTCTCTCTGTTGTTTCAATTCTTATAGGAAATTGATCGCTGACCTTGATTCGCTATGCAGAATGTGATGCCAGCACTTGTAGAAACCATCAAGGAACTGGGACTCGTGCTTGTGGCAGACACCTCCGACGAGGTTGATGGAAAGCCAACTCGACCCAGTGCTCTGGCGACAGCCAACGCAATGGGCGTTGCTGCTGAGTGGGCATACCGGATGCCCGAGGGCGTCAATGGCGTGATGAAAGCCAACGGTGTCTTGAGGTTTAACGACACTATTGACATGTGATGTTACTTTGCTCTTCCCATCTTCCTTCTTCATCCCATCTGGCCTTGTTTATTACCTATATAATTGTATTTCCCTTTTTTGGGTTACGAAAAAGGATTCAGTGTAGCCATCATAGTATTGGGCCTTTGTTCCGGTATATCATCTATTTTTGTCTGTGGGAGGCTTTGTGATTTTTTTTTTGCTACGCATTTTCAATACCACTATGACCTGTTCTCCTGAGTCTATTTCTCCATCTATCCTTGTCTATGGTACACAAAAAAAAAGTGGATGAGGGGTGCGTGGGACACAATGCCTGTTTCTTCTGATGTCAAGGCATGTATGCGATGTTAGTAGATTGAGAGTCGAGTTGGAGAGGCGACATGAAATAAAAACAATTAGAATACAATCCGTCTATACACGTATACATAAAGCGCGGCATCAAAGATGTCCGATTCGGTACGGGATGTCGCTCGAAGAACCGCTCTCTATGTGGGAGATATGACCCGCAGTCTTCTCGCATGGGAAGGATAATCTACAACTGGCTAGCTGCTCTTGGGCGTTCGTTTGCCGATGTCCCAACCCCATCGTCTAAGCGTCTTGACGACTTTGGGGGTGACAGCCGCCGTCAAAGGCACCCGGATGAAGATGAAGCTCTTGTGTATTGCGTATGCCAGGGCGAGCTGTGTCAAGATGCCTATATGTGTGGAGAGATCAGGTCAGCGCATCTCAATAGCATATAAAAGCAAGAAGGCGCCACCACTTACTTGCTCCTTCCCCGGAATTGTTCTTCTCTGCCTCCAAAACCCCATGGCTATTCCCAGGCTTGATAGCTTCGTCCTTCTTGATGGGAGAATCGCCCTCTTCCTCAGCGCCGCTGGGACCCTTCCTGCTTGGAATCGGCCAAATACTGCGCAATAGGTCCTTTACTCCTTCGACAACCACATGTTCGTAATATCCGATCCGCTCCACTCCGAACAGTCTCACAGCTAGAAAGCAAAAGGGAAAGTCGACGGCCGAGAGCAACAGATAAACACCCAGCGCGGACCACCCATATTCGCGGGACAGCGTCTTTAGCCGCTGAGATAGCGAAGGCTTTTGAGACGGCGCCTGTGAAGAATAGAACCTTTTCGGCGGGCTCTGCTGGCGGACGAAAGGATCTCGTTTGGAAGGGGTCACTGCACCAGGCCGAGTCCTTAGTCGAGCTGTTCGCGCGAACGAGGAAAATCGAGCCGTCGGTTGCTCCCAAGGAAGCGGCAATAGTGGTCTCCAGACAGAGCGGCCAACATGTCGAGAGGATTCCACCTGTTGCTGCAATAGTCGAGGTATGAGTGCAGGCCGCGGAGACATTATTATTATTATTATTGCTTGGTATATTGTTGACAATCGCCTTTTCTCATTCCCTCCCTCTCCGCAATGAAAATAAAACCGGGTTATAGAACCCGTACACGATAAAGCAAACTAATTGCGACCGAGAGACTATAAAAATAAGCCCTGCATAAGCTACGATGTTCCGTCAGAAAGGAAAAAGTCGCTCCGCTCCGGCCGATGCGGCATGCTGTCGAGCTCCGTCGGAGCCGCTAAGAACTAGTCTTGGCGCCTTCGCCTTCTCTCCGCAACCCATGGGAAATCCTTGACCTGCCCTGAACTCGCTCAGAGTCGGCGGGCTTTCTACCAACTTTCCCTCTTCGCCATGGCTCCGAAGCTCCCAGTAGAGCTCAGGTGGCTCAGTCGGCCTATCTGGGCCGCTCAATTCTTCTTCAACTTCACCCCGAAGAGGCAGTTTGGTATCAGGTCTTTGAACCCGCCTAAAACGAGTCGCTTCAATGTCGGACCTGACCTTCCCATCTTGAAATCTACCCCCGCGGCCGCCCTGGAGCGAAAGATCAAAGCAGACACGCTGCCATTGCGGACCGGTGCCATTGCTATCAAGAAGGGCATGACCGCCATTTACGACCCGGAGACTGGGAAACGAACCCCATGCACCGTCCTGCAGCTTGACCGAGTCCAAGTGGTATCACACAAGACACGCGAGAGGCACGGGTATTACGCCGTCCAGGTTGGCGCCGGCTGGAAGCATCCTCGCAGGATGACAAAGTCTTTGCTCGGGCACTTTTCCGCCCACGGCGTCTCGCCGAAGAGATACGTCTACGAGTTCCGAGTCAGAGACGAGCGCGGGCTCCTACCGATTGGGCAAGTCATCGGTGCGGATTGGTTTCAAGAAGGCCAATATATCGATGCACGTTCGAAGACCAAGGGAAAGGGGTTTGCTGGTGTGATGAAGAGGCATGGTATGGGCGGTCAGGACCGTAGTCACGGTGTCAGCTTGACGCACCGTTCTCTTGGATCTGCGGGTCCGAGTCAGGGAGGAGGATCCAGAGTGTATCCGGGAAAGAGAATGGCAGGTAACATGGGAAATCAGCAGAACACGGTGCAAAACTTGAAGGTCCTGAAGGTGGACCCCGAGAATGGCATTGTTGTCGTGAACGGTATGTCGTTATTCCCTTGTCTCGAGAGTTTCTTTTGCGTTATTTTCTCGTCTCGCAGCAGTTGCTGATGAGAAGCTGGGTTCTGCAGGCTGCCTCAGTGGACCCAAAGGTTGTGTCGTGAGAATACAGGATGCCCTCAAAAAGCCTTGGCCCGAAATTGCTTACAAGCAGTTGAACGAAACTCCGGCTTCTTAAGGTCCTTATGTTTGTTTTTTTATTGTTCATGAAATGTACTATTATACATGTATTTGAGCGGCGCGAGGATTATAGATACATGATATCCAAATTTGCTTCCCCATCTTCCTTGTCCAGAATCTGTCCCAGGAAATAACCTAGTATTTCTATCGAGTCACGGCGACTCAGTCCTTTATAGTTCCCCACTCCAAACGCCAAACACGATGCAATAGGACAAGAACCGGGGAGTGAATTCTCCATGTTCGGGGCATGTGACACATTCAATAATGTGAGGAGATTCAAGGAATTATGGAACTCTCAGCCTGCCTTGAAAGGATCTTCTTCATTGTCCACGAGGAGATGCACAATTCTTCCGTCCTCGGTCTCAAGGCTCCATTCCTCGGTGCGGAACTACATTATGACAAACCATAGTCAGCTAGATGTCTTGTTCCCCAAAGCGGAATACACCATAGGCGGTTTAAAGCAGCGGAAAAGGAAGTTTCTTATTAACGGTCAAAAAACTCACATAGCTCAATCGATCCGGCCTCACACTCCTGAATCTCATCTTGCCTTTGGCTTTCGTACCCTTCACCCAGAAGGATATGTCGATTGTCCCGTGTAATTGATCCATTTCGCCACTGATCCAAGGGATTTTATGCGCGAAGTAGATCTCGTCGCCCAGGATTTCACGGGCCCGCGGAGACGTACGGAGAGCGTATAATGTGCTACTGACGACACTGGACGACGACCGTTGGTAATTGAATATACCGAGCATCGCAGCCCCCACAACGACTGCAAAGAAAGGAAGCGTGCGAGCCCATCGCCAATTCGACTCGACCGCAGGAAGCTCACGGTCCGGACGGCGATCTAGAAGAGGGCCCGAGTTCGGGGATGGAGCGGGGATGAGGGTACGCTGATTGCAACGAGAATAACGACTGAGCACTGGTGCCGGTCGCGGTCGCGCAGGGCCCCGTAGAATTCTGAAGGAAGCCATTGTTGTCTCTCTCGTGTGTATCTCTCTCTGTGAGAGAGGGGTTTCTCTGACTCGCCGTCGTCGAGGAGGCGAAGAAATGACAGTCAAACAACTCAAACTCGGCTGGGCCGAGTTCCAGTTTCCAAGCCAAGTTACTCCGTCCCTCTCCCAGTAATAGTGCATAACTACGTTTCCAACATTTTCTCAGCTCTCGGTTTGAAGCTCTTCTGCCAATATGGCCGCAGCCCGGCTACGGAAAACCTTTCGCTATCCTGATGACTCCGAGCAGGAGCCCGAGGGGAGAGAAGAGCTCGATGAAGAAGGTTTGGATTTGACAACTCCCACCGTCGGCTCGACGCTGATGCTTCCTCTTTCTTTTGGTTTAAGAACAAGAGCGACTTATCAAAGAGCTACAAGTGGAGAACGATAAGCAAAATTCCCGCTATCATGTATGTTTTTTTTTTAATTCTCGTGATGACTGTTCGTATTCTTTTTCGCGATGACTGAGCAACAAGGGTTAGCTTGCTTTTACAATACTCCCGCTCATAACCACCATTGCGTATGTCCCGTCGATACTTTCACCAGCCGCCACGGCATTTCAGAGATTCAGTTCCATCCTTTGTATCTTGTCTCTCCTGGCGACAGCATGCTTCATGAGATACGTTCCGCTTCAACGGCCCAGTCGTAAAGACAGGGAGCCTTTCAGAGATATCGGACCAGAGAGTCTTGTAATCGCAAGGAAGTATCTCACTTCTCTGAATACCGCTGTCTGCGCCTTTCTTTCTTTGGTATTTTGGAGCATGAGCGGCAACAGGGATCAAGACCAGCTCTGGCCGGTTCTTTATCTCGTTCCTGGAGGTGCGTTTCTCCCATTTCGAAGAATCCCATGTGCAGACAAAAGCGCTGTAAAGAAAGCTCTGGCAACTTACACGCCTGGTTATAGCGGTGCTTGGCATCGTGGTGATGGCTCGAAGAATGATGCTGGATGTTGACATTGGCCAGCTTGAAGAACTTCGTTATGAGTATAAGGGGGCCTAGACTTTTTTTTCTTATTGACCTTAGATTTTCTACACAGATGGACTCTTACATAGGTTGGACATCTAGTCATGATACACGATTTCCCTAACCTCGAACATTCTGACGAAGCTCTGGCTGTTAGAAGTCGACTGATTGATCGGCCAATTGTAGCACCTTCTAATATAAATACAATGTCTCTCGAATGCGTGTCCTCACGAATAAGTTCTATAGAGCTCGCTTTACACTGGAAAGCTTGCAAGCCAGGAAAAAAAATCCGAACTGAGCACAGCACACGATCGAAATATATATATGTATATATAACCTGCATTCTGATCTTCTTGTCCTTATTTTATATATTCTTCAACAACTGCAAGTTTTCTGACCCAGGTTCGGAATCGAATCGTTATCTTCATACCTATATCGCGAATACGTCGTCAAAAGTTTTCCATTACCTCTTAGACCCGGTAAATCAACCCCATTTCAATAATAGATAACTCACCAACAAGAAGATTACATATATAAGATGCAGAATATATCCATGAATAACATACATACGGAATGTATAATAGGGTATTATCTAAGTCATGCCTTTTATTTTTTTTTCAATCAGGCTTATTTCTTAAAAACTCGTGTTTTTTTCTGTAATGAATGATTGATTAACTGTTTTTTTTCCCCTACCAGAAGAAAACCGTCCTTGTTTCATTAAGGATTAGAATTCTTAGCTTATAATTTTCACTGTTAATGACATCAAGGTTGCCTTTATCAAATAACCAGTCTTACCACTTGTTTACAATGGCTGAACTAAAAGATGCTTTCATACAAGAAGAAACCTTGTTTAACCATCAGCTTCCATGAAGTGGTATATTATACCTAGCACGCGATGTCCTCGGGGCGCACAGTGGTATCAGCTAGAACTAACTTAAGAACCTATCTTGTTTTACTTGGCGCCAATTAAGTAGGGAGTTTAATTAATAATGATAGGACTAGAGCTTCCTGGAATGCTACAAGGATCCAAGATCAGCGTTGATGTTTAAAATAATACACAGGTATCTCATTAACTCCATCCAGCGCAGACCTAATTATCTGTGTGTCCTTAGGTCACCAATAAATGTCCCACAAGTCCTACCAACGAATTACAAAACGTCCGGCTATTTAACTGCAGCTTGACAAAATCGAACAGCATGTCCCCTTCCCGAAGACTTGCAGGGCTTTGATCAAGGGTAGATAATCCATTCATGAATCATCCGATACGTCGGAGTCCTCAAAATAATTCACCCTCACAGCCCTAGTTGGCTTCGGTCTATCCAATTTATTATTCGGAATCTTCACCGCCCGTCCTTTGCCAGGAGTAAAGTCCTCGTCCTTTTCACCTCGACTCTTACGCGCCTTCGGTAGATTAGATTTGGGGCGCAAAGGTTGAGACACTGAATTGGGATTCGTCAGATCTGACTGGATAATCGCAGAACTTGTTGTTGGTCGTCGTTCTTTGTCATGATTATCGGCGGGACGCTGCGAGCGTACGAAAGCTTCCATTCCTTTCCTACCAATCTTGAGGCGAACAATGAGCCTCTTGGACATGCCTCGGCTTCCACCAGATTTCAGAGAACTGGAAGCCCCGTCTTGCAAACTTGAGTCTCCATTGAGCCGGCTGTTTCCCTCTATTGCAGAACTCAAAGCCTGTTCGCTGTCATTGGAAGGCAATGGTGGAAACATTTCCGAGAGTGTAGGTCTGGGAGCCTCTGCGGGCGGCGCAGAAGATGTATCCTCTAGATCAGGATACTCAAATCTAATTGCCGCCGCATCACGGAAGCCATCATCCTGGCCCTTTCGAGACGCACTCGTGAAGGTACGATCATCTCCGTTTTCGGTTGAAGGCACCCCAACTGCTGCGCCGAGGGCGGGGTCAATTGGGATATTTTCATAGTCTACCATATGCGGATTTTCGCCTTCCACAGGGCCCTCATTCTCAAGTTCATCGTAGTCTTCACTTGCTGCGAGGGCATGCATCTTCGCCATCTCAGCCTCCTCTCGATGCCTTTGCAGTCGACGGGAATCGTCCCGGTTACCATCGCCAGCCTTTTTAAGCCACACGATATTTGAATGACTGAAATTCACCAAAGCTTCTACACTGCGAGGATCCGCCACCTTTCTCGTATCATGACCGAGTAAGAGACCCTTGGGCTCATATGGTGTCATGGTAGGATCTCGACGACAAGCACCGCAGCTGCAAATCTTGCGACACTTCGGGCATTTCCAGCTATAGTCCTCCAAGACGGTCTGCGGCATGATCTCAAAAGCTCTGAAGAGGCTACCATAGCAATAGTTCAAGTCGCACGACGTACAGGAAGCAATTTTCCACGTCGGTTCTGGTGCCTTACAAATATGGCATCTTCCATGTTCCTTGTGCCACTTTTCTGATCGGCGAACTTTTCTTCGCTTTCGAGGTCGACCATCGTCGTTGTCATCGATAATGCTGTCATCATTTTTTTGGCGTGCAGGCGGTTTGGTAATGTCTACCCATGGTCTTCTCCTTAGCTCTCTTTGGCAAACTTCAGCCAAGGTTCTTTTCCCCAGTTTACTCTTCTCGACTGCAAAAGGCTGGTATTGATCACCACGGTGGCCGGTGAACCTGAGGATCTGCCTTCTCCAGCTTTCGTGTTTTTCGATCAGTTCTCCCCAACGAAATTGTTCCACCCACTTGAGTTTCGAAATGCAAGCGCAGCTTCGGCCCATGGCATAACATTCCATGCAGATATCATAGTAATCGTCTTCGCCATTAGGAAGTTTACCAACACAAGAAGGACAAGTGAGAAACCGGTTAAAGATATTACACCGACAATAAGCACAAGTCACATTGCTTTCAAAGGGAAGGAACTGGACATTTTTCTCTTCAGGCAAATCCTCTGCAAAACTCTCTGAGAGTAAGATCCGTGTGTATAAGGCAAAAAGCCTTCGAAAATCTTTCTGCAATTGGCGTATCTTGGGACTGTTGAGGTTGCGTTCCTCAGCAGTGCGAAGGAGCTTGGAGTACCTCTCAAGGGAATAAAACACGATTGCCTTGTTCTTGTACTGCTCGTCCCGACAGACAGCCCTCGCGCGGGGAAGGGCTTCGTCCAAGGCCATTTCCAGGGTCTCAGCAGTAGTGCGATTCCAGGCAACTTTCATTGTTCGGGTTCCTCGATTCCAGACCTGATGGGCCGCCAGAGGTGGAATGAGGATGAAATCACCCACTCTTTGTTCTACCACATACGTCTTGAATGGTGCTGCCTTCCATGCATTTATTTGGGCAAAATGATCCTCGAGATCAATATCGTGGCCAAGTACAGATGACCAATATTCCGACACGAGATGACGGTCTTTAGTCTCAGTCATGAACCAAATGGATGAACCTGGTTTCGTAAGCTTTCCATGTTCGACAAGTCCAGATGACGCTTCCACCATTATGTTGTGACCAAGACTGGCGCACATCTCTTGATGACAAGGCGTATATGTACCCTCATGACCAATATAGCACATGAGATTTTCGGCCCTCATTTCCGGAGGAAGACTGCTCATCAAGTCACCTGCCCTCGCAATTCCTCTTCCTGCCTTCACTCCAGGGCCGTAGGGATTTGGTTCCAGCGTTGCTCCGACACCCCCAACATCCCCCGTGGATTCATTGAGGTAAAAGAGAAACGGGGGGATGATCTCTTTGAGCTTTTCGTGCCAGACGTCTGGACAGTCAATATCCTTCAAATATATTCTCTGACGTGTCGGATCCGTGTAATTTGACAAGTTCCATTGGTCGGTCAAAAGAGACATATTGTTCAAGTAATGGCCGATAGTGAGAGGAAGATTGGATTTTGTTGTGAGATTTCGCGCATTTTCCGCTAAATGAGAGAAAAGTCAGCTGGAATTGCTTTGAGAATTGACGAACCTTGAAATCTTGATCATGTAAACAAACGATAAACAACTTACTCTTCGTAGAGTAGTTATCCCTAAGCCATTGTTCTGAAAATATCCACTTCTCTAGTCGCGTGTCGTATCCTTCAACAACCAGGGGCTTTCCACCAAGTATCACATGAAGAAGAACCAATTTTTCGAAATTCTCCAACCCCTGTTCATCGATCGCATCACAATGTATCCTTACGACGAATTCAAAATTCGGCGTTGATTCCACAAGCGCTGTGACATCGATATCAGGAGGAATCGGCTCAAAAGCCGCGCGGGGTCGTTGAGCAGGCATATTCGTGGAGTCGTACCGATACGCGCGTGATATTGAATGCCCTCAGAGTCAGAGACATTGATGGAAATAGTCACAACTTGCGGATCGCGGAGACTCTTCGAAGAGTGAATTTAATAAATTGCGCATAGCCTCTGGATGACGAGCACAGTCGTCTTAATGAAACGGATGCGAAAGCGGGCTGTCTATGGTCAGCTGTTGTGGCAGCATCACTTCTGAGAACCTAACACAACAAGCTTTGCGCAGTATGCTAATAGCGACGCGCCTCAAAGAACGCTGCTCAAAGCTGCCTTAGACTCGAGAGGCAAGTGCATGTAACCGTCACCGTAGTGGCGGGAGTGTGAGCCTTCTATTCATAGGAAATTGATGAGACTCGCAAAAGGCTTCACGCCATTAAAGAACGCGGTTCCGAAAAGGAGCCTTTGGAGGGAATGGAAAGCTCGCTCAAGGTCAATCCAAAGACAGCAGCTGTTGATTGTGATTCACAATCCGCATCTTGAGTTCGCGATGGTACTGTTGTCCCAGGCTTTCAGTTCATCCGAATGATATGGGGCGCGATTGGCTAATCCCTTTTTGGGCAATGCCTACCGAGGCACAGTTCACCGACCAATCACAATCATCTTCGAGGACGGTTAAGATAAACTCTGGAAGTAATAATTATTATTTCCGCGTAGGCCGGTAGAACGATCAGCTTCATACTGAAGGCCTGTTGTGTTTTGCTCCGAAAGAAAAGTATGAGCTCACACCTTCAATATACATCATTGGCTATCTTAATCACCCAGTACCTCTTTCATCGCTTTAAAATAACCGACATTTCCATTTCGCATCTCTTGTGATAGGGCAATGCCCACGGCGGTGTTAACAGTTGCGCCTAGCAATTGTTTCTGATTGCCTGACTTGCTGAATTATCCAGGGCTCTATTCGCCTCAGTTATTTGCAATGATATCTGCTTCATCATGCTTAGTTATGTCACTCCGTCCGCAGCTTACACAAAGCCTACCGCAATGGAGGAATATTACTTTGAGCTGCGGACATTGCTTATCAACTAAGCCTGGACTTCGATCGACGGCGCCGTTTTTCAGAACTCTGGTACTCGCCAGTTCTCATTGGAGGTATCGAGGCCAAGCATCGCGACGTACACCTACCGGGCGGTCACTAAAGCTTCGTGCTGTGTCTCAAACGTCTCTGGACCGGTATGCAACAAATTCGACACAAACGCCCGCTCCTGCGCAATATTCGCCGCCTCAAACCGGTCTAATTTCGCACCTTCCCAAGTCTTGGATACCATATGCCGAATTAATACGCCTTGACAAGCCGACTGGTACATATTACCTCTTTTTTCCTTGCCTATTTTCGACACTTCTAGCCGGCTCGCTTGCCAATCCGATTGTACCTCCCGTCGAAATACTCGCAAAAACAGGTCTATTCTTCACTGGAGCGTTGATTATGCGAGGCGCAGGATGTACTATCAACGACCTTTGGGATAGGAATTTAGACCCCCATGTTGAACGGACGAAGTTTCGGCCACTCGCTAGAGGGGCAGTGACCCCTCAAAACGCGATAATCTTCACAGGCTTCCAGCTCCTTGCTGGTCTCGGTGTTCTCCTTCAGTTTCCTACTCAATGCTTATGGTACGGAATCCCTAGTCTTCTCCTTGTTACAACCTACCCATTAGCCAAAAGAGTCACGGATTACCCGCAATTCGTTCTGGGATTGACATTTTCTTGGGGAGCAATAATGGGATTTCCGGCATTGGGTATTGATCTTTTAAGCCGCCCAGAGGCTCTGGGGGCTGCGGCAGCACTATACTCCAGTTGTGTCGCTTGGACAGTGTTGTACGATATGATATATGCTCACATGGACATCAAAGATGACCTCGCGGCTGGAATCAGGTCAATCGCCCTACGTCACGAGCATAATACTAAAACTGTGTTGTCTGGTTTGGCTGTGACTCAAGTCGCACTTCTTGCCGCTGCTGGAGTAGTCGCGGGAACTGGACCTGTCTTCTTTGTTGGCAGCTGTGGCAGTGCTATCCTTACTCTCGGCATAATGATTTGGAGAGTTCGCTTGAAGGATGTGAAGAATTGTTGGTGGTGGTTCAAGCACGGTTGCTGGATTACAGGCGGAGGCATAGCACTTGGTCTGCTCGGCGAATATCTTGCTCAATTGTGGGGCTTGTATGATGGAAAGGCCGAATACAGCATCGAAAAAGGCCGCAATGCTACGCAAGACGCCGCATGATTCTCATATAGGACTTCTTGTACTCTAGTTTCGCATAGTTCTCAATAGTCCTCATTGTTTCTTTCGGGATGTAGTTGTAAGCTCAATATCGTAAAGTACTCCGTAAATCCACTCGCATTTAAGTTATTATGAATGCTAGAGCCGTAAGATACTCGGCATTGTAGTTGCCAACAAACAATCTTTTTCTGAAAACCACGGAGTAAGAGATACGGAAATTTGAGTGACGCGGGGATCTCAGACATAGACTCATAGTAAGCTAGTGGCGTAACTACCTACCTTACCTTTCCACCAGCACACGAACACTGCTTCAGCTTCAATCCCTTAGTATCCGTCTTGTACATTATCTCCAGGATCTTAATCAAGTCCTGGGAGATCGTGACCTCCCAGACCCCTCCATCCATTTGATTCCATATGTAAAACTTGCTGCCGGACTGGAACATAACACAGCCTTCACTGGTCGCAGCGGCACTGCACATAATTGGTCGTGGTGAATTTAGGCCATATTCTCTGGCCATTGCCTGACCAAGGCCATCTCTGTTCTCCCAGAGGAATTCAATATCGAGCTCATTGCTGTCTGTTGTCCATCCCTCTGGTGGTATGATTTGACCTTACAGAATATATGCCAGAAAATGATTTCCCTCATTCACGCAGATTGAGCATCAACATCTCCAGGCGAAGCCATGGTGAATTGAGTCACACCCTAACTTGCCTAGGCTTGTATTTATCGATACAAGTGCCGAAGTATCGAAAGAGCCAGAAAGCAAAATTCTGATACTGAGAGACAAGGCAACGGAGTGTTGAGAAAGACAGGTGGCTAGGTAGATAGACAGGTTTTATTATTGTCGTATTTGATAGCGTAAGCAGGGAGGACGATAACTAAGTGCTCACTGGATGGGCAGCAAGCTGATCTTAGCCTCCCGTCCCAGGACGGAAATGGCATTCGGTGCGCTGCATTTCCGGGGACAAGTATATAGGTACTCGTGAGTCTTGAGTAGTAGGTACCTAGGTACCTACGTAGGTGGGTCATGCAGAGTCGGAATCGAGTAATCTATCACTCGCTGCATATCCGCGACCGCCAACTTGCCGGACTTAGACGTCATATCTCATATTGTTTGTCACATTTCTGAAATAAGCCAGAATATGTTTTCGAGGACATTATTGTCATCTGTGAGTCTTCAACTGTATTATTCCTACTTCGGGAAATTGCAAGCTTACTTAGATATATAGGCTTCCGTGGGTGCTGCGCGGTCAGCGCAGAGGTTCGCGCCACCACGCTCTTTCTCTAGACCGAAAATACCTACTCTTCAAGCCCGACTTCTCTCTTCAGAGACAAAAGCAGCGATCGAAAAAGCTATAGCATCAGCTCCCGTCGTACTCTTTATGAAAGGAACCCCAGAGACACCGCAGTGTGGCTTTTCGCGAGCAAGCATACAGATTCTCGGTTTGCAGGGAGTGGATCCGAAGAAATTCGCTGCCTTCAATGTCTTGGAGGACCCTGAGCTTCGACAAGGTGTGTTGTCATCCCGATGATCCTTTTTTTTAATCAATGATTTCGTCTCTTTTGGGAGAGTGGGGATCTCGTTCAAAGTTCAGAGGCTAAGGAGTTATCGTTAATAGGCATCAAAGAATACTCGGATTGGCCAACCATCCCGCAGCTCTATGTCGATAAAGAGTTCATCGGTGGCTGTGATATCTTAATGTCAATGCACCAGAGTGGAGAGCTTGCCAAACTCCTAGAAGAAAAAGGTGTCTTGGTCTCGGCTGAAGAGTAAGCAGCAAAACTCGTCGTCAGTGTCAAATGTATTCAGCCCTTATATCGGTATAGCGCAACCTCTGCCTGGCATGTTCATTGTATTTTTATATCTTTGCTGCCTAGCTGTTTCTTATTGTGGCTGTCAGAAATACATTTAACAGGGTTATGCTAGCTTCTTGTCGCAATTAATTGTCTGCAAAGTTTGTTGGTATGAAATAGATTGAGTACTTTTGACCCCCATGTCTAGACAGGGACGCAATCAGGCCGACATTGATGGTCATTGAACATTTCGTTCTATACAGAAGGCAAGTTCTTTAAAGTCCTTTAGATTATTCAGCTCGCCACCGCATGGCATCTGTCACACCAAGTGATGGTATTATGCATGAATTATATTAGTACATGGAACGACTTGAATTACTCTCTGTTTCCGATACTGTAAAGTTCACGGCCTCAAACATGAAAACCCACTGGAATTGATTTTAGTTACATACTTGGGATCTCGATATAAGTATACCAACACTTGAACTGAAGGTTTTTTCAGCTGGCAAATTTACATATCCTATTAGTAAAACATGCAACACCCAATGGTGGCAGCTTCTTCTATTATCGATGATTCGAAAGTTTTTTTTTTGTGGAGGCTTGATGGCTCAAAGCATGATAAACTATTGCACAGAGTAAACCGTATATCCGGATAACCCGGTCCCAAAGCCATTTTCTCAGTACTGAGTAAATGACCCCAGAGTTAGCTGAGGTTCCCTGTTGCAGTCAATTCTCTTATATCAGGGTATATAATGGACTCTGGTATTCGAATATGACAGTAGAGCCCTTCAATGCAAATTCGTCAATATTGTTCCAACGCTGTCCTAAAAGAACACCCCATTTGAAACGCCATATTCAAAGCGCAAACATCATAGTTTTTGAACATTCAGCTAACTTGCTCAAATCCCAAAACACCACCACTCCATGAAAAGCAAAAAGAAGAAAAGGCGAGGCACTTTTAACTTGATATCGCATTAGCCTAGAAGTCCCCCTAAAACAACACGACTAACTCCCGCAATCTCGTTCTTTGCGCCGCTCCTGCTGGCATCCTCAAACTCTCGCACTACTCCAGCAACCATGATTTTCCGAAGCTTCGCGTCAGTCTTGGTGAACAGCTCTCCTAATGCAGCTGTGCAAACAGCAGGACTAGACACCAGGGTCACAAGCCTGGTATAGCAATCAATCAACACATCACATAGCGTTGCAAATGTCTCAAAGAAGTCAGGGTCGAAAGGCAGGGAAGGTGTTAGAAGGTATGAGTATTCTTCTCCAGGGAGAAGGTCTGAGGAGTCTGCACTGGGGAAGGATGTGACCGCTGAAGCCGCCGTCGCTGAAGACGCCAGATTCCCGGTCATGGCCTTGACATCCGAAGAGTCGCTAAAATGCATAGGTAAGCCAATCTCCGTGGCAGAGCTCGTCCTCCTGGCTTTGTTGCCGGCATGCGTTGCCCTTTTGAACATCTGCGGTATTCTTGCTCGAACAAGGGTCGAAGACGAACTACCGTCCGGCGGATGCGCTTGTTGAAAAGTCTCAAACTCAAGTAGTAGAGCGTGAAGGGAGCGGAGATACTCAAATGGCGTCGAGCTTACGTCAAGGATCGGAGGAAGAGAAAGTCCAAGGAGCAGGTAATTGATTGCGCGACGGGAAAGCTTTCGCGAATCAAAGTAGGGCATGCGCATGAGATCTGCTTTCGAAAAATGAACCGTATTGAACCAATAGACTCGGCCTTCGTGACTGTCTTTCAAAATGAGTTTCACAACTGAAGCAAACCAAAGCGGATAGATGTCGACTGACGCTTTACGCAAATAGTCCAGAGTCGATATTCGTTTCGCAGCTATGTCATGGATATGTTGGTAGATTGCGCTGGCGCTCTGCGGCCCGAGTGTGCCACCACCCGATGCAGAAGGAAGGGGAGGTATCCCACCGCTGCCTCCATGGGCATTCTCCTGACTGGAATGGCCCGCGCCCGAAGATTTACTCCAGGTAGTGTCTCTGCGCGTCAGGCCGTGGGCAAACGGCGAGGCGATCATTCCGTTCATGGCGCAATGTTGTTAGCAGTCAACTATGAGAGAATTGGATTGAAGGCAAAGCTCTCATCTATCGGCAGATAGACCGAGTGATTACTGTAGATACAAAAACCGATGATGTGCTGCCGGGGGTCACTTTTAGCGCAGGAGACACGCAGTGGACTCGGGGTCTATAATTAGATCGGCAAGGACCCCGCGGAGCACTCTAAAGTTTAAAGCAGACCGCCGAGCCCCTCCTTTTCGTTCCGGGGGAACATTCGTTGAATAGATGAATCCTGAGTAGACTTCGCTGTTTTATTTTTCCCGACCAGTCTGTCTTACTTTGATTAGATAAGACCACTGTTTGTCCGCCGTCTCCAGGTGTTCCTAAACGATAACTGCCCTGTTTTCCTTCTCTTCTTTTCTCTTTTTACCCCACTGAGTGCTCCATATGGATATCTCCCCTGAGGAGGAAGTTCCCCTCCCGGGGAAGTGGCCCGTTGACCCACAAGATGATGTTCCCATTTCCAAAGAGCGTATCTGGGTAGACGGATGTTTCGATTTCAGCCATCACGGTGAGAAGGCTAGCCTAAAGCTTTGACTTCCTTGGTAGTTAATCAAAGGATGCACAGGACATGCTGGTGCGATGCTTCAGGCCCGCAGGCTGGGGAAGGAACTAGTCGTAGGAGTTCATTCGGACGAAGCGATCCTCGAAAATAAAGGCCCGACTGTTATGACTCTGAAGGAACGGTTAGTTCAAAGACGCAATGAAATTGCCCCTATACTCATACTCGCTTTGATTGCTGTAGGGTGGCCGCTGTTGATGCCTGCCGTTGGGTTTCGAAGTCCGTTCCTTATGCTCCATACGTGACATCGCTTCCATGGGTGTCACATTATGGCTGCTACTACGTTGTCCATGGGGATGACATCACCTCGGACAGCAATGGAAATGACTGTTATCGATTCGTTAAAGCTGCAGGCCGTTTCCTGGTGGTGAAGAGAACTCCCGGGATATCTACGACAGATCTTGTTGGCCGCATGCTTTTATGTACGAAGGGACACTTCATCAAGTCGTTAAAAGACACTTTGGCCGGTATAGAAGGATCTGGCAGTCCAGAAGAGCGAAAAGAGTTTGGTGCAGATCTTCTGCAGAGAATTCGGGACTACGCAACAGATGAAACTGGCCTCAAGCCGGGCCCTGAGGTGTGGACGTGGAGCGGTACAGACTCAGCAAAAATTGGTCAAACGATTGAGGAAGCCGGGATCTTTGAAAATCTCGTCCCAGGTAAACCACCGAGACCAGGTCAGCGCATCGTGTATGTGGATGGTGGGTTTGACCTTTTCTCGTCTGGCCATATCGAATTTCTTCGACGCGTGCTGTCGAAAGAAGAGGAAGAAGGTCGCCAACGTGGGTGGTATGAACCCGCGGAAAGAGAAAAAAGGTGCTCAGAGTATGGGGAGGATTTCGGACCTGCATACATTGTCGCCGGTATCCATGACGATAATGTTATCAATCACTGGAAAGGTCTCAATTACCCCATCATGAACATCTTCGAAAGAGGTCTTTGTGTTCTTCAATGCAGAGTAGGTTTCGGATCTTCCTAATTGTATTTCGACCCGAACTGACGAATTCAGTACATTCATGCGATTATCTTCTCAGCCCCCTTCACACCAAACCAGTCTTTTCTGCAATCCATGCCCTGGGGGGTCCCGAGCGCAGTGTACCATGGTCCCACGACGTTTATTCCACTCACCTATGATCCGTATATCGCACCAAAGAAAATGGGTATCTTTAGGCAGATCGAAAGCCACCCTTTTCAGAATGTGAATGCTGGTGAGATCGTCCAGAGAATCTTAAAGAGCCGTGATGCATACGAAGAGAGGCAGCGTGCGAAATTAAGGAAGGCTATTGTGGAGGAGGCAGCTAAGCAGAAAGAGGCATTGGAGGCTCAATCTAACATTGATGGCAACTCGAATGGACAAGAGCAGGCTTAACAGTTACTGCTTATGTGGTTTAACCATCATTTTTGGGCAATATAAAGCTCAGAAGCCGATTTTGATTAGGTACTATCAGACGAACACGGTCTCTGAATATCGCGCATCCTGCCTGGTCTTACTTTGTGGCAACGACACTCTTCTTCCTATAGATAGCCTGTGGTTTACTCCCTAACTCTAAGGTAAGACTCTCATTTTCTTCCCTGTTAGCAACCTAGGCTATGGCCACATAGCTAGCCAATGAATATCTACTGAAATTTCTGCTGACCAGTAAATTGCCTGTGGTAATTGGAATTCCTGAGAGGGTAGGTCCTTCTTGTGAGCTCACAACCAGAGTAAGGTTGGTGGCATCATTTCTTTTTGGGAAATGTATAAAATCCACACACCCCGACAGGAACTGTTTAGCTTCCCTTCTATTACCTTAATTTTGCAGTCATAGGCGCCCGGCACATTTTCAACCGGACCTTCATGTCTCCTTGGCCATTCTACAGTGATTACTAACTCACTACTGCCGGTTTCTTTTTTCATGTATATACACTATGATATTTCTATTGATAAATAATGAAGTTCTATGTTCACAACATGAGTCATGAATCGTGTCCAGAGCAGAGGGTTCCAAAGGATAAAAAATACAAGCCCCCCTCGAAAAAAAAAAGATTGTGTCGTCAATTCAAAGCAGACCGTCATGCAACAAAAATTATAGAGATTCCAGCAAAGAAAATCCAACGCCAGGTCGAACAACATAATAACGCCGAGCTGATGCCTTAGAAACAAAGAAGAACGTCGAAATCTGCAGTCGGTAATGGCGAAGGTCCTGTGGAACACCGAAATCAAACTCAAGAGGACTCGATCTTTTGGTTTTCGCGCTCTTTCTGCTCTCCGAAAACTCGCCGACTCATTTCGAGGACAGCCTCAAAGCCTTCTCGTCCTCTCTTTGCATTTTGGCTAAACCTCTCCACACTCGCCTCTTCGACCTTGTTCTTTATTTTTTGCCAACCACTGCAGAGGGCAGTAATCAGAGCTTCTTGTTTAAAATCGGTTTTTGTATCGGGCATCGACGGGGAAGGCTGATACACAACGGTCTCTCGAACATTCAGAACATTCGACCACGTGAGGTTGGTGGAGCACATCGTAACTTTCTTCGCAATCGGATCGACATAAGAAACCTCATAGACATAGGACAAAGAGTTTCCTCCGAAGAGTGAGATTACCCATCGTGGAACAGATTGACTGCAGGTGATGAGGCGTTCGGTACGAAGCTATTGCCGGGCGTCCTGGTCAGTCACAGCAACATCCCTTATCATATGGGCCAAACTTCTACAGGAGAGGAAGGATATTGACTCACAATGCCCGTGGACGGCTCTACCGTCCTCGATAAGGTGTCCACAGCCACGACATGGGTTGACTTTTGGTTCCAAGGACAGTATTTCCGCCAGTTCGCTGTCGAGACCTCCTCCCAAGAGTAGTCAAAAGTGCAATTAGAGGCGAAGACCTTCATCCCGAGTGATCGCACTACCACCCAAACTCCCGTCTTTCTACCCGGTCAACCTTGTTCTCGGGAGTGGTTACAAAGGAGTTTTTGTTCGGCTGGGGTGCAAAAGCGAAAAAGATGCGCGGAAGTTTTCTTGATAGCGGCTAACGGGTGGCGCAACAGGACGACGGTGAAAAAGACAAGAAAACCAGGTACGGAAGCGATCAATAGTAACGCTGGATGTGCGGGAAATGATAATTTACAGAAGCAGCTAGAGAATTATTAATTGCTGTCGTCACAGATGTTGCGAGGACGATGATGGAAGGAGAGCCAAATCCTCGGTCACCGTCATGCATGGGCGGGCAAAAAAAAAGCGTTTCTTCTCGTTCGGGAAGACCTGAACCGCCCGGACGTGGACGTGGTAGCCCTCCCCGCATGGACCAATGAGAAAGAAGAACCACCAGAAGCCAGGGCCAGTGACTAGGGCTTTTCGAATCGCTCCGTCACCCGGCCTTGGGTTGTTCCCGGAACGCTCCGGGGAAGCGTCATGGTGGATCGTATCGATCGTGCGCGTTATTTTCACATGACATGATGGCAATGGGAGCAGACCCAGCATTACTCCGTACGAGTTGGGGTGAGGATAGCATACTATTAATCATTACATGTTGTGCACTTACACCTGGTGTAATTAGTTAGTTAAACTAATAATAATTATTGTCATGATTGGACTAATTAACCTGCGTGTCTTTCTGGCGTCCAGAGGCTGAATGCCAGAACTCAGGGGCTAGCACTCGTAGTTCACGACGCGTCGCGAACACGACCACCCGCTTTTCGTCTAGGCATTATTTTCGTCAAAAAATTTCGATCAAGGGATATATAGAGAGAGAGTACAGAGTATTATAATCTCTTTCAGGAAAGTCTGCTTGAGGTCATCCACCCCTAACCGCCGGAGTTAAGCCGTATCTGCAGCGGTATTACCCTTTTGCATAGATCCGGTCTTAACCTCTGCCCGGCCACTACATTACTTTCCCCAGAATCGACGCAAGCAAACATCGCAATGGTCGAGCTGAGGAAGCGCAAGGCACCTTCCGACTCTATACCAGCGCAGGAAAAGAAAGCAAAGCCAAATGAGAAAAAGGCTCCCAAGGAGAGAAGCGCTGAACCAAAGAAACAGTCCGACGATGATCATGGCCCCTCTCCACGAGGGAGTGTTCCGAAAGCCGGTGACACGCTTCCTCTGGATGGTTTTGGAGGCGAGATCGAGACACATGAGGGTGTCACAACCTCTTTGAAGGCTTTGATAGACGCTAGCAAGTCCGGAGTCGTTCTCTTCACGTATCCGAAAGCCTCAACACCCGGATGTAGGTACACCGTCTTTTTTTCACGTCCTTGTCTTTGAATCTTTTTCGGTACCATCCGTCCTTGATTTGTTATATACCCGATCTTGAATTGCTGGTTTTTTTTATTATTATGGCAGATTATGCCTGCAGACAACGGGTACTCTAAAGATATCTTAGATACATTATTACTTTTCGATGTCTTCCATTTTTTTTTTCTTTGCTTCCTTTGTGGATCTCAATAGAAAGATACGATACTAACTATTTCAAGGCACAAAGCAAGCATGCATGTTTCGTGACGCTTATGATCACCTTTCGTCGACTGGGCTATCCATCTATGGACTCTCAACCGATTCACCAAAGGCAAACACAACCTTCAAAACAAAGCAAAATCTGCCTTACCCGCTTCTTTGTGATCCGAAGGCCACACTAATTGCAGCTCTTGGGCTCAAGAAGGTTCCTAAGGGGACCATAAGAGGGGTTTGCGTGATAGATAAAACAGGCAAAATACGACTGTTGGAACCTGGTAGCCCCGCGGCGACGGTAGAAGCTGTGGAAAGATTGGTGTCTGAGAGCTCAAATGAGGATCCCTCAAAAGAGTTGCAGACATGAGGGTCGGCCCTACAAAGGAAAGTGTGAACTACCTTGCGCAAGGTGGGATAACAACATGATTCGACAATATATTCTTCGTTAACTTTTCTTCAGTTGGCACTGACTATGAAGGATCTGTTTCATATAACGAGGTTTCATTTGTTCTTGCATGGGGGTTACCTCTCATGTCAACCTCGAAGGACGAAAATCGACAACATTGGAATAATATAAGCAACACCTGTGAGCAGCACATACATGTAGATACATACACAAATAC